GCCTCCCCTCCTCCCCGGTCGCCGCCCGCCCGGCCCGCCCTCCTCCTACGCTCGCTCTTCCTGTGAAGTGAAGGGAGGAAAGAGATAAGCTAAGAGTAAGAGCATCTCCAACAGTCCCTCTAAATCTCACTCTCCCCATTCGCTCACCGCCGACGCTCGGGCTCCGTCCGCCGGTGCCCCTTTGGCCGAGCTCTCACCGGCCGCCTCGTCTCCCATCTCACCGGCCGCCTCGTCTCCCTCAACCTCGCCGTCGAGCAACGCCGCCACCGCATTCCCTCCCATCTCCAACCCACCTAGCGGATGAGGAGGCGGCGGCGTGAGGCGAGGGGGCGCGTGGATGGGGAGCCGGCGACGACGACACCGTTTTCACGCGACGATGGCCAGCGCCAGGCCGCCAGACGACGACGACGACGACGGGTGCATGAGGCAACGACGGGATCCGCTCCTCGCCAGCCTTTCTCGTTCCTCCCTCGCCATCGAGCCGCCCCGTCGCCCTTGTCATGCCGCTGATGGCCGACGCCGAAGGACTCATGCGCCGTCAAGCCACCCCGTCGACAACGGCAACGGCAACCTCGGGGACGACGACAGTGGATGGCGACGACTGGCGACGGTGCAGATGACGGCGACAGCGGCTGGCGACCTCGTCGACAATGGTGGCGCTCCAGCGTGGGTTCAAGACGCTCGCCGTGATGCGCACCGTCGTGCTCTCCGCCGCCGGCCTGCACTTCTGCGCCGCATCGAGCTTGGATCCCCAAGAACCCCGCCATGGCTCCCTCCTCACTGGGCGGCAGCGGCCCAGCGCCCGTGGCCAAGGGGCTCCACCACACCATCGTGGAGATGCAGGCGGCGCATGGAAGCCGGTGCTCGCGGCGGTGCACGGCGCTTGCGTCGGCGGCGGCGTCAAGGACGTGGCCGCCTGCGCCATCGTGGAGAAGAGCCGAAGGAGATGGGGGGAGGAATCTATGTGGGGCCCATGGTTGGCCAGTGATTTCTAGTTGGCCAAATTTGGCTAGTGGAGGGGGGTTTTGGCCAGCCGGATGCCGGATGGCTAGAGGCTATTGGAGCTTTTTTTTTTTTGGCTAAAATGGCTAAAATTTGGCTTGGAGAGTGGGATGGAGAGACTGTTGAAGATGCTCTAAGGAAAGAGATAAGGATTAGAGAGGAAAAGAGAGAGGAGTTTGTGTGTGGACGAGAGAAGATGATAAGTCCTAGGGATTATATAGTGCGTTTTGATCTTTAGTCTCGGTTGATAATACAAACCGAGACCTGGGACTAAAGATCCCGGAGAACCCTGACAGCATGTGAACCAGGACTAAATATCACATAGTCCTGTTCTGCTTATAAACCGGGACTAAAAACCATCTTTAGTCCTGGTTTTTATTGTAACCGAGACTATTGTGGTTTTTAGCCGACCGTGTAAAGATGGTTTCTCCAGTAGTGATATAAGATTTTTTTTAACCTAGTCACTACCTCTTGTACTGTAATTAACATAATTAACTCTTAGTACAAGAGGTAATGATTTGCCTGTGGCAAAGCCGCTAGAAATTTGCAGGCCTGCATGCGACTCAGTCGCTAAATTTTAGTGGGAGATAGCGGTCGCGGGGCGAGCACGCCGCGTTAGAGCATGGTTAATTAATAGTATAGTCAGCCAGCTATAACAAACTCTATTTTATTTTACAGCTAATACTAAAGCCAATTAGCATAATAGATAGGCTCCTGTGTTGATTGTATCTTATTAACCAAATAATCAATTCCTCCATACGCATATTAATCAAAAGTGTGTTCTATTCTTGTGGCTATTTTATGGTGTGATATGAATATGAGTAGTTTGTCCATATAGTACTACGTATAAAAAGTCTTTGTCCTCTCGTCGTCTGAATTTTTCACCAACGAGCACTGTCCGTAGATGTACATGCTGTCCGGATGCTCGAACATCACAAAAATCATAAAAGCTTCACTCTATCTTAGCCCTGATCATGCCCAAAATATCCACGCTATGCTTAATGATCTGACAATAAGAATCGACTTAAGAATCTTAACATAGTATTGCCAAAACAACAAATAACAATTAATCATAAACCAATTGGAAGAGGGACTCCGTCCAGAAAGCATATGCATCAGCAGAGAGGAATTGCTGGAATCAAACCCCAAACCCAACGAATCAAGCACCGGAGAAGACGAGCAAAAAAGGCAGAGAATGAGTCCAGATCGAAACAGATTCCTCCTTGACTACCGGCTTCACCTACCCTCGGTGAGAGTTGTCATATCGATCAGAAATAACGCCTCACCGGATGAATCTGGAGCGGGGGGCCAGTGATTTGGCACACAGCAGAGTTTTCACGATGCGGGAAAACGGAAGAGAAGAATAACGAGGCTAGAGGATAGGCGATTTGGTGGCGCGCGGAGCCATGGTGGAAATCTCGCTCCGCTTGTGACGGGGAGGAAGAGGAAAAGCAGGCCAAGATGAACGCACATGAGATCCGACGGGGTAGATGCCGGGCTCGCAAAATGAGCTTGCTATTGCTATGCGCGTCTGTATGCGTGCTATCACTCAGCGCCGCTAGAATTGTCGAGGTTTGACTTTTATCTTAGTCAAACTTCTTTTCTTTTAGAGATGGGTTTTTTTTACCCTGTCTCTACATCTAACTGGATATATACGGCTATTGAAATAGGAAATTTAGCCTCGCAAACAACCCAATCTAAAATTCACTGCTATAAAAGTTTAAACTCAGGACCATAGGGTACTACTCACTGCAACCATTAGGTTACATGCCCTGCTTAAAGTTTGATCAAACTTGTAACAAAATATAGTAAACATTTTCAATACAAAATAAACATTGCATCAAAATATATTTAATATTAAATTTTATGAAACTAATTTGATATCGTAAATGTTAGTAATTTTTTCTATAAATTTAGTCAAATGTAAAAAAATAACTAAAAAAAGTCAAAAGACTTATAATATTAAACGGGGGGAGTACTATAATTATATCATAACCATAGCGCAACTAAAATATATACTATATACAAGATGCATACCCCGCGCATTGCTGCGGGAGAATTGTGTGATAATACAATAGATATGAGTTCTAAAATTTTCTTTCCTACCTACTTTATAATTTTTTTCATGTTTTTATATATTTTTGTACCTTTATCAATTATCCAAAAGTTATAAATGATTGGGTTGTATGGTGTGCCTTTTGGGGGAAAGAGATGCAATTTGCACCCTTGATGAATCATCCAAATACTAAAATAAATTGAGGTAATGTGAAAAGAAGGAATTTACACCCTTGATGAATCATCCAAAGGCTAAAAACAATTGAGATGATGTGGCTTCATGAGAGAAGAGAGAATTAGCATTAACTACATTTAGTGGGAATGAACTTTATAGATATATAGGATTAAAACATAATACAATTTTATACGTAAGTTATATAGTTTACTAATATTGTTACATTGTAATTATACTATCAGTGTCGTTAAAATGTAACAATGCGTAATTACAATGTAGTTACTAAGTTACACTATTACTTTCACTATTACTTTGATATAGTTACATTTGAAAGTTTTTATAAAAAAAACTTTGTGATAGTTTTTTTAAGCAATTTCCTTAGCTTTATATTTATTAATTTGCCACCAAAGATAAAAGGATTGTTAATTTTATCCCACTTTAGAAAAAGTAAAGTAGCACACTATGACGGCGTCTTGATTTTTCATAACCACCAACTGGTTGAATCGAATGACCGAGATCTTGTTAGGGCATTGCAAGCTACTTAGATGCGTGTATTTATGTGTCAAATATGCAAAGAGCAAATAATTATGGCTACACCTCCTACAGCGCATAGCGGCAAGCGAATGTCTATAGCTTCAGATGAGCATAGAGTTAAAAAGGCATATGATGAGATCACGCATCTAATACGGGCGTGGAGTCGTGTCGCGTGGACATCTGATCTTGGACGCAGGCGAGGTGCAGGTCATCCCTGTGAAGGGCCGGACAACCAACTGGGAATTCGACTCACATAGACGTGTACGCGTTTTTCTTACGTGTTCACTGCGAGGCCAAACACCATGTATCTGCATTGTTAGGGCCTTTACAATACAGGTCACGTATAGGATTGGCGCAAGAGGCCATCAAGATTTAAGACCTAGAAAAGCCACAAAGGTCCATGGTGCATGTAGAAAAAGTGGAACGAAGCCTCGCCCTCCTAACGCGTCTGTAGCCTTATCTCCCCTCGCCAAGAACAGGTGATCAAAGAAGATCATGCGGGCTTTAATTTGGTAGGCCTGCCCACAAACGTGGCAAAGATTGACACCGAATCTCTGACGTGAAAAGACCGAACTGAATAACAGCTCACCGCATTGTAAAGGCCCTTACTAATCTTAGCAAGAGTTTGGTAGAAGTTTTCAAGTAACTCTTGCACTACTATGCTGAGAAAAAAAGTAGCGATGAGCTGAACTCAATAAAAAAAACTGACGAACTGAATACCATCATATGTATTCTATAAGCGTAACCGTAAAGAGAAGTCGCACATGAGACATATCAGTTCACATGTCCCATGTACGTAAAAGGGTTTAAGTATTAGGGCCTCATTGTAACTCAAATTTAATAATAAACACAATTATAAAAGTTTTAAATGTAAATTATTATTTTATTGTCTTTGTTTATGTTTTAGGTAGGTCTGTTTGCAAGAGTTGTAACCAGGGTTTCCCTTACCGCCGGTAACCGCGCGGTTACCGCAGTTACCGAGCTTACCGCGGAGGTACGGTAATATAAATACCGCGGTAACCTCCTTAAATTCAAATAAATTTTAAAAATAATTTGAATTTTTTATAAATTTTACATGGTTTTGTACGGTTTTTCACGGTTACCGCGCGGTAACCGTGCTTACCGCCGGGGCACAGTAACCCCGGCCCCGGCGGTTTGGAAACCCTACTTATCGTTCAACTATGACAAAAATAAAAGCCTGTTCAACTGTTTCAGCTACGAGAGAAAAAAAAAGAACAAAAAAAAAACAAAAAGCGGAACGGGCTAAAGCAGCGTAGCAACGGGCGCCGAGGTCAGACTTCCACCCAGACTTCCAGACTCCAGAGGCGAGGGCTTCCCAATGGGCAACATCGCGAGCAGCGGCGGCGCTAGCCCACGTCCGCCGCCGCCGCATCTCGAAGCCTATAGACACGGGGTGCCGCCCCCGTACTACCACAGCTACCCTCGTCCGCCCCCCGGCGCCGCCGCGCCGCCGCCGGTGCCGGTGCCTGCGCACGTGGAGCGGCACAGGGCCGTGGCGGTCAGCGTCGGCGTCAACGTCAAGGGGGACACCCTGCGGCTGGTGCCCGACGACGACGACGACGATGGCCGCAGCCTACTCCTCGCCTTCTCCTTCGACGCCGATGGCCCCGGAAGGTCCCGCTCCTTCTTCTTTTTCCCCTCTCACCTATTTATACCGGGCTAAGTGGGTTTCTTGATTAGACGCTGTGGTAATTTCGTTGCTATAGCTTTGATTTAGGATCTTTAGATCGTAGTAACATTGGTATACTACATTACTAAAATTTCTGCCAGAGAGCTCAGCACAAACAAATGTTGTTGCAATCGTGATGCTTTCGATTGTGTACTGCTTTCTTCTTCTCTTTTTTTTTTGGGGTACAAAATTGGCCCATCTTGTGTTTGGCATAATGTCGTGATTACCTGTCCAAATGTAAGAATGCTTCAATGTAGAATTCAATTAAACTTAGTACCAGATCAGATGCATACTGCTTGATTCTTCTTGCTAAAGCAAATGTTTCTTACTTGAATATATATATACTAGAAATGTAAAATAAAATCGTTCACATAACTTGGTATTGAGTGTGAAAAATGAAGTTGAAGAAAGTAGCAAGAATCAATCTATAATTCTTACTAAGAATTAGATTTGTTTAGGTAGTGACATGGGACTCACCGTACTCCAGACTTGTCAGAATCAGAGCTTGATTTATCTTAATGATTTTGGATGTCTACTTTCATTTTATTGTCACCATTGCCATGTTATAGTAATTGAGATTCTCCAAATTCCTGCTACTCTCATTTCTATTGTCACCATTGCCAAATCATATTAGTTGAGATTCTCCTAATTCCTGTGACTTCTGTTACTAATCCTACATGGTTCAGTCTCTTCTGATGTTTAAGCTATTTTTACGCCCTCAAAATGTTCCATGCTTAATAGTATTTTATCCTTGGCACATCTTTCATCTTCCCAACAAAGATTAAGACATGGTAAGATAGCACTCGTGAAGTTGTGGCTGCAGAACTCATAAAGATCCATACCAATTATGAAGGTCTATCATAAAATGACTTGTGTACTTGAAAAGAGTATCGAGTTATTCATTTCTACTTTCAACTGATGGAACAATGTGTGATCTAGAGCATTTAATATCCGCCAAAAAAAATCATGGCTTATTGGATTCATTCTGCATATATTGTCTGTCCTGATGTGCAAGATATCTAAACTTAAGGAGTATGTGGTTATTTGGGCACGTATTGGTATTCTCCACCTAACCCATGTATTCTGAAAGGTTTAAAAGAAATCTCCTGTTCACTCTTCTGGCAGATTGAATGGAACTAACAAACAGAAGATGAGACATTAGGAGTTGTAACCAATCCAGTTTGTGTTGCGCATATTGAGTGTAACTCTGTTTTCAAAAGTTATGCCTTATGCAGACCAGGTCATACTAGATTTACAATTTGAAACTGAACTGATCACAACTTCATATGTCTCTTGTTCCATGTTTTGTGGAATTCCAATCCATGATAAACATTGAAAGGAAACCTTCTATACCTTGATTAGGATGATATCATCCTTAGGTGTATTTCCAATTGCAGACTTCTCCAATTTGGTAGTATTTTATATATGTGCATCATTTTTTTCAGAATAGCCTTTCTTTTTTGCAGAAAGCTCAAACTTAGATGCTCTTTGATTTATTAATTTATTGTTTGAAAATAGAGTTGTACTGTTTCCAAATTTCCAATTTTCTGGGACCTTCACAATTAGTATGGCTATCTCCTTGAACCTTTTTAAAGAATTGAACGTTTACTGGCTTTCCTTGTTGTCATCACTTCTTTTTTTTTTTTGTAAGATTGTCATGTGTTATGTTTAACTAAAAGACCTATTCATCATGCAAACAGCATAACTGTCTGCTTCTTTGCACAAGAAGATAAGTGTGCCTTGAAGACCGCAAAGGAAAATTTGCTTCAACCTGTGACCGTGCCTTTTAAGGAAGGTCGAGGTCAGGAGTTCAAGCAACCAAGTGGGTCGGGAATCGATGTCTCTCGTTTTGAGGAATCTGAGCTAACTAATGTTGGGGAAGGTGGTGTATTCCCTGTAGCATTCAAAGTACAAATGGATGTGTCAGGCAACCAAGAATCAGAAGGGGCACATGAGACCGAACAATCGAAATATCTTGTTAAATATGCTATATTTGTGAAGAAAGACAATGCTGAATATGGAGTTCATGTTGTGCAGCAGATCCTTTGGGTAAATGGAATCAGATATGTCTTGCAGGAAATATATGGTATTGGGAACACAGCTGATAAGAATGCTCATGAGGATGATTCCGGGAAAGAATGTGTGGTTTGCCTTTCTGAACCAAGAGATACTGCTGTTCTTCCATGCAGGCATATGGTAAGTTACTTTCTTACTAAGTATTCTTGAAAGAATCACGATTTTGCCATAAGACTTATCTGTTTAAGCATACATATATTATTATGGAGATAGAGTTGGAAAAAAAATAGTTATGGATTTTCTCCTAGCATTCTTTCAACTTATCAGATAATTTTGAAGTTGCATTCTTCGGGCATTTTCCATCTTTGATTTGCTTTAAACTGGAAGAGAATATGAAAAGGTTTGGATTGTGTCTACTGCTATATGGTTTGGAGTGTGCCATTGGAGGCTGGAAGAGGGATAGTTGAACCGCTAAGATAAAGGAGTAGGATATTCGTCAAATCCCACTTTAATAATAAATAAAGGCAGTCACTGTCCAGCATATTAAGGAACCTGCTTAGCGGGCATAGATATTTAGATTAAAACCCATTTTTTCTTTCAGTGAGTATGCCAACTATCTTGCCATTTTCTCTTAACTTCTTTCCTAGTTTTCTATGCCAAAGTTCATGGCTTATATTAAACGTAAGAAAAAAAATTGCTAGTGCTTTACTCTCTTCCAGAAAGTGAAAGACAGACCTTTCTTAAAGCACATCAAAGGTCTGATATGCAGTAACATCCACTGCTCCACTATTAGGTATTAGCACTTGCAACCCCCCTGGCACTGTACTGATTATTGAAGCAATGACAATAAGTTTATGTACTTCTGAATGGCTGTAGCATTTTGTGCCCAAATATTTACCCTTCTGTTCTTTTTCTCAGCAGCTATGCATTTGTGCTATTTCATTTTTTATGCCATGGTAAGAACTTCGTGAATAGATTGCACCATGTTAAGTAGCTAGGGATGATGATAGAGAAATAACGATTATATCCTTTAATTTTGCTGATCAGTTCAGTTTTATGAAAATCAATTAAAGATAGCATGTGCCATTTTTGCAGTGCCTGTGCAGGGAGTGTGCTCAAGTTTTAAAATATCAGACCAACAAATGCCCAATATGCAGGCAACCTGTTGAGGGCCTTCGCGAGATAGAGGTTGATAACAAACCGATTCCCCAACAAGGATCTCAGCAGTTAACAGCACCTCAATAAAGTCTCATCTGATTGCAAGCAAACTACCTGTACATGTGTCATGTGTATATAAAAGGTCTGTGCTTTCGGGAAGGGGAAATCGGAAGTTACCTGGTAGCAACAAAGCTGTTTCTGATATTTTGTTAAAGGATGAACCTACTGGGATTTAATTGTCTACGTTTGGACCACCAAACTCGACTTATTACTTGGAAAAGACACTATTTTAGATTGTATGGTTCAAGCCTTTTGCAGGGGACAATCGTTTTCTTGTTCTAATTTAGTTACTCATCCATCACTTTGATGTGTTTAAGAGCATACGATGTGTTCTTTCTAGTGGATGCACTTATTGTTCTATGATGTCACCAATTGGAAGTTTTTCCTCCAACTGGCGTGTCCCTGGGAAGACTAGCCAGGCAACATTTTGGTGCTACATTTACCATGCTTAAGATCTTACGATTACAAGGTTATGTAGATCGACAATCCTTTTTGGGTCCTTTTTGTGGTATTGCACGTTTGCACTGCTGATAACTTGCTAGTGAGAGAGGTCAGAAATGAGAACAGCTGGAAATTTCTAGTGAGAATTGAACTGTTTCTATTATAGTATTGCATATCTATATAATCCTTAACGAACACACCTGTAAAAAACAGTTTAGGCACAACTTAGCTTTGTTTCTTTTTTTTAGGATTTTGGATTTTGGATTTTCATTTGAACGTTTCCCAAGCTTCTAGACGATGGATATCGAGCAAAATTTTCTATAAAACTTTCTGGACTACTCTTTGAAAGCAACTTTTTTCCAATTTTGTAGTAGTTAATTTATTTGTTTATACCCTCAAATTGCTACGAAGAAATCAGATAATCCATCCATCCATCAATTCAGCTGTCTCAAACAGGCCTATTAATGAGTGCATCCCGAAGAAACTGGTTCTCTAAACAGACCTTCACAACTATAACCTTCGTCCCAATTTAAGTGTAGTCGTGGGTTTTTGTCCAACGTTTGATTGTCCGTCTTATTTGAAAAATTTATGAAAAAATTAAAAAAATAGTCACACATAAAATATTGCTTATGTTTTATCATCTAATGACAATAAAAATACTAATCATAAAAAAATTCAAATAAGATGGACGGTCAAACGTTAAACATAAACGGTGTAAAACAGCAAGTCTGGAGTTAGTAGATAAAGAAGTGTAATCCTTTAATTGGATAATACTCTCCGTTGGTCGCCTGAGCCAGATGCGACCACCTACCGTGGCAATACTTGTCCTCCATTGTAACGCCCCGGTTTTCGTTCGGGATTAAAAATCATTAAATAAAGCATTTCTAGAAATTAAATAAAATTGAAAGCAAATTAATCAAGTGAAATAATAGAGGAAATTAAAATTTCCTTTAAAAAATCATTGGCCGAGAATATTTTGTAATATTATCTGTGCCTTAATGAACTCTTTGGAATTTCCTGTGAATTTTCGGAGCTCAAGAAATAATTTTAACAATACAAAGTTCATTTTATCAATTAAAATAAAAAGGAAACAAATATAACTCCCCCTTCCTCCTTTTCGGGCTCGGCCCAAGTCCTCCCCTCCCTCGGCCCGCTCGGCTCTCTCTCTCCCTCAAGTCTGTTCTGCCTCCCCCTTCCAACTCTCTCTCCCTCTCTCCCCGACAGGTGGGACCCATGGACCCTACCTGTCATCTCCTACCTCCAGCCACCCCACAGCAATTGCCATGGCCGCCGAAACCATCCCACGCCCCGCCGCCTTTTCCGCGCCACCCCGCCCACCTCCTCCACCCCCCGCGCGCACGCTCGTCCGTGGGACCTCGCCGCCCACGTCCCCGCTCTTCTCCCCCTCTCGCGCTCGCAAAAACCGGCCGCCAACTCCCCCACGATGCCACCCACGCCGCCGGTGGTTGCCGCCCCAAATCCACCTCGCCCCGGCCTCCCCGTCGCCCCCGAGCGCTATAAAACTCCTCCCCGCACTCCCCTCGCTCGTTTCCCCCATTTACCCGAGCCCGCCGTGCCCTCCATTGCTCTCCCCACGCTGCTCCTGTGCGCCGCTGCTCCCCGGCGATCTCCAGCCGCCCCTCACCACCGCTCTAGCCACCTCCGCACTGCGTCGCCGCCACCGCTAGCTTCGCCACTCCGAGCTGCACGCCGTCCGCCGCTCCACTCCCCTAATCCGCCACCGAAACCCCACCGCCACCACACCACCCGAACCGCCACCATAGCAGCCGCCTCCAGTCACCTCTCGCCGCCGTCCCGGTCCACCCCGTGCTGCGTCTCGCCTTCCTCAGCACCGCAGCAATCGTGTGCAGCCCGGCCGCCCCTTTTCATTCGCCAAAGGTCGCTGGAACCCCGCTTCCTCAGCCCAAGGTGAGCTCCAACTCGTGTTGTCGCCGCCGGCCGTTGTTTCTAGCCGCTCCGGTCGCCCTTTCACCTCCCTAACCCCTCCTTTATCTTCCTTAGATCGAGGCCGAGCCCGTCCGCCCCTTCCCGAGTGCCGCCCGTCGCCGGAGCTCCGTCTTGCCGTCTTCCCGAGGAGCCCCGCCGCCGTTGTTCCTTGCCGCCGGCCGCCCCTTCCGCCGGCCGCCGCTCGGTGGGCATCTCCCCTCCAACCCCTCGCCTCCCCCTGCTACCTCCCGGCTGTGCCGCCGCGCCGGTGGTCGCCGCCCCCCGGCCGGCCGGCCGGCCGGTGAGCCAATTCCCGCTCGCCCGTGGCCGCCCGATTCACCCCGGGTGGATATGGGCCGTCCACGTGGCCCTCCCCGAGCCGCTCGGCGTCGCCGCCCCTGTGGCATCACGTCGGCACCACCTCGTCCTCCCCGTCCCGCGTGGCCACCACGTGGTGCGCCCGCCGGCATCGCGCGCGTGGACCGAGTCCACCGTGCGCCCATCCCTTTGAGCCACCGATAGGTGGGACCCGCTTGTCGGTGCCACCTATTCCCCTTGGTGACGTCATAATCCATTAATAATTGCGCAATAAATCATTAATAATTATAGAAATTTATTTAAATGGCTCAAAACTTCTAAAATTCATATCTAATTCATACGAACTTCAAATTGGGTCATTCAACTTGCAAAATTCATCTAAAATTGAGCTCTACCTGTTTGTTTACTTTTTATGTACTGTTTTCTTGGTGTTTATTAGAGTTTTTTCCTCTTTTGCGTGCCAGCGTGTAGAATCCGTCATTTTGGAAGATCGCGGTCGCGAGGAAAAGAGTTCAGAAGATTGTTGTGAAGAAGCAAGGCAAGTCACACATTCCTCTTGAGCATGTTGATCCCAATTGATAAATGTTTTATCGTTTGCAAATAAATGTGCATGTTTTGCTAATTACATAGGATCAGGGTTTACCTATCTGCTTGCTTGTGCCATGTTTACTTAATATATGTCATTTGTCAACCTTGGGTAATAAATCGACTAGCTCATGTTACTTATGTGACCTAGCTAGAACTATATGCTTAGCCATGCTTAATTGCCACTAGCTCAGTTGATGGAATAATTGCAGTATTAGACCTTTTTAGTAGCAGAACGAGCTGTGTGCTCGAGACATCCGGCCATGTTTCATTGGCCGTAATTATTCAACTAAAATACGACTGAATGGTGGGCTGTGGATGCATGGTTTTGCTAGTCGCACCCATGGCAATTAAAGATCAGTTCACGGGATGCACTGGAAGACATACAACGCTTGCCACAGGCGGGAATGTGTAACTGCCTGACTTGAAGTATAGCTTTCATCTAACTGACGTTCCCAGGCAAGGGTGGGCGTGATGGAGTTGGGTTGGCCGGGGTGTTCGGTTGATCGGCTTCCGGATTCACCGTGGCACGAGAGGGAACTGTCGGCTGCCTTGCGAGAAGTGGGGGTGAAACCTGAGGTGTGGTGCGATTGGTCAGAGGGAGTTATATGAAGGGTCTTGTCACAACCACTCGACATGGTGACGTTTTCATCATGGGTGCATGATGACACGGTGACATGCCGGTGGATTGTGTCTTCTGGGTACAGTCGTATACCTCTGGCCAGAGTAAAACTATTCGAATAGCCGTGCCCGCGGTTATGGGCGATCGACCACATTGACCATGATTAGTCTCACCCCTAATAAATCGACCCAATGCACTATAGTTCAGGTGGGTTGGTTGGACATGTTCAACGTGGTGTAGCGTTGATCAGTGGAGATCTAATTTACTCTCGCTTTGAATCCTCACGTTGAGCGGCAAAATGGCATGTGGATTATATTGGCTTTGAGGTTCATGCATGTGGTTAGTTAAGTTTTTGGCGTTCACAGTAATGTCACGTCACGTAGGCTACGGCAATGGATATAAGATCTAAGTTTTTCATAGTACAAGTGACTCTAGGAGTAGATTTAATTTTATATTTCAGCCCCTTGATACTTTTTATATTAGCTCTCTTTTTAAAAAATTTATGTGGAGGTCCTAAATTTACACCGAACACCCTAGAATCCAGAACAAAGCGAGGAAGGAGAGTATAGAGGGCTCAGATCTGATCACCATAATAGAGGAAAAGGCCGACCTAAACCTATTTTGTGAACTTTTGATAGTTCAACAAGTATAACTTGATGCTTTATGTTTAATACAAAATATCTCTACTAGGATTTAAGGAAGTTTCATTTATTTATTAGGCTGCACTCCACGCCGAGCGCAAGAGATTCATGGAATGATCTTAGGAGTGAAATTTAGTTCACTTAAGTAGAGAATCTATTTAAAAAACATAGGATAGGAGCGAGAAACCCATGAGTTGATCTTAAAAATGAAGTTTAGGTGAGTTTATTTACTTAATGTAGAAGAGGTAACTAGGATATGTCAAACATTACCTGTGAATTTTTCGCTAGCCCCAACAGAGGACAGTCGCGGAGATATCATGCGAGACTGATAGGCACGGCTCTCCACCAGCCCAAACAATAGAGTGATCGCTGGAAGATGGTTTGCAATTTTGCAACCATTGCATGCATATGGGCAAAAAATTCTGATTCCAGCTCAGTGGCTATGTGAATCAAGCAGCGTCCATTATCTTCTCTCATTCAACTAATAGGGTACAAAACTTGGGATGGCAGTCCACCATCATATTATAATTATATGATCTACTTCGTATTCTCAATCTGCCGAGTTCCATCAGTTCACGCATCATCGACACCAGTCATAGGGTCAGCTTCCTTGGGCTCCTCATCTCCACCATCGTTGCCCTCTTCGGCCAGGGCATCCTTCATCTGATAATCCACCTTGAAATCGTAGTCTGCATCCATGTCGGTCAGCACGCTGAACTTGTTTGCCTTGCGCCTCTTCTTCTCGGCTTTCCTCTTGCGAGGATCAAGTATTCCCTCTGCTGTGTACAGCTTGTCATTCTGTGTGCTCGCGCTGGCCGTCTTGGCTCCTTCACGCTCATTTGCATCGGACATCGACTCATCATGGTTTTCCTGCGCAGGTTCATTCTGCTTCTTGCCATCCTATATCAAGCACAAGACAAGTACATTATCTAATTGCAGTGTCATGACTCATCGATGATGCCAACTATGGCAATCCTATTCCTAGCACAAATGTCATGCAAATCACACCCATAAAGAATAGAGATTATTTTCAATGGGACGAAAACCATAGTAATACCTCTAGCATCTCTTCGTCAATCTGCGGTGGGGCATTAGATGGAATCTCAATGTGACGGAACTCCTCCAGTGATTTCAGACCACCAATATATGATGACTCAGCTTTGTAAATTTCATCAATGTTAAATTCTTTCCCAGTCTCTGAAATAATTACTGCATCGGAGTCGTCTACAGCATCCCTTTTAGGTGGTACCGTAAAATAGGGTATTTTACCTAAAAAATAACAGTGTCACATGACTCAGAAACGGAATAAGAGTAAAGAAAAATCAGTACAGGAGGAATCATCGACCATACCCTCATTCCAGTCATGAAGTACAATTCTTGCAGCAGCTTCAACATCCACTATACCACCTTTTTTCAATTTCCCCCGGAGTGTGGCAACTTTCTGAAGGAAATCGTCCACTGAAGTAAATGTTGGAACCCTGTAAAGGGATAGCAGCTTCTCGTGCGGGCATAGATCGAGAATTTCCTTTACTGAGAGGATGTAAAGTGAAGAAAAATGGAACAAGTTATAATACAGTGCACTTCCAGCAACATTTAATGCATATTGTTGAATGAGATAGTATTAGTATACACATAATAAAAACATATATAGCTAATTAAATGAAGATTTCAGCAAAACTATCTGAATAGCACCAAAATGATGCAAGCTATTTTTCAACACTTACCAGGACTGATTGGATCTTCCATCTTCTCAACTCGTTTGCAGTTGCGAAGGGCCACAGATACACCACTATTGGAAGATTTCAGCATCACAACACCAGGACAATCTAGCAGCTTCACCTTCTTGTCTAACTGAACTTCTTGCATTGATCTAGTAACTCCTGGAGTGGACCCAACATTAACCACACGGGACCTCTTCAAACTGTTAATCAGACTGCTCTTGCCAACATTAGGAAGACCAACAATACCCACAGTAATTGCCAGTTTGAGCTGTAACATATAAATAATAAAAATTATCTAAAAGGGCAACATAAAGCAGAAAAGAAAAAAAAAACTCATATGCATCGCTACAGGTCAGAGTGTGCAAAATGAGAATTAAAAGCTCATGAATTCCCTAGCGACGGTACCACTGTACAAACATGACAAAATGAAAGAGAACTACTTGGAACAACAAATTCAACTGTGCCCATATAACAAATTAAGGTAGGCCATTCTTGAGATTAGAAAATTATTACTACTTGATGTTATCATCAATGTTAATATGGTTTGCATAAAGCAGTACACAGAACAAACGGAATGGAAATTCAATATTTTCATGCCAGGTGAGGTATCAAAGGTACTGTTTGCTAAGATGGCAATTTTAACAATTACTACAGATTATTTCAACAAGCAGACTCTAACAACAATCCATTTACACTGCCCACTGAAGTTATGATACACATGTGAACGTTGATCAGTTACCTCATGACTCCTGGAATAATTCTTGAGTAATTTGATCAGGTTCTCAGCACCAAGACAATCACTGCTTTGTGGGATATTGCTTGATTTATCAATCTTTGATGATTTCCATCCCAGTTTTGTCCTCTGCTCTTGGGTATTGCACTTAAATGCGACAGTAGGCATTTCCTCTCTTAGGTACGTAAGCCATTTCTCTACTGACTCCTTGGGAACAAGATCTGGATGCCACGAATTGAAATTGAGATGTTACAAGAAAGTAGACATAACACGAGTGAAGTCCGAACTCAAAGAAAACTTGAATTGTACCTATCTTGTTGAGAAGTAGCACAATCCGTTTACTGGGATCAGCCTTCCTGACCATCTTTTCCATGTCAATGCAACGAGTGCCCAGTGGATCTCTGGCATCGAGAACCTCAAGAATGACATCAGACGCTTCAATAACTTTAACAAGCTCCTTGTAGAAGGCTCTCTCTGAATGATCTGGAGATACAACCAGCAGATTTAGGAATAACGTAACTGCAAACAGTAAGTCAGCAAAGCATGACAAGTAGGAACATTGAACCTCACCTTGGCTCTTAACCACGTCTAAAGAGGCATTCTCCTTTGCTGCATCCTTCTCTGCAAACTCGCTGCCCTGAGCAGAAGCTGCAGAGGCCAAATTAGCAATGTCCTCGTCCTCAAGCAATCCAAGCTTTCTCTTCCTAGCCTGAACAGAAGTGGTCACAATATTCTACCATTGGTCAAACAGTACAAGCAAGATGTATAATACAAATGAAACTAAATAAGGTGCAGAAATATTTAATCCTCTCTTCCCAGTGCAGGTATGTGTTACTCACACAAGTCCATGTTAAGGCACTGAATGTGTAGTGTTTGCATACAACATTCTAATGAAATCTCATAAAGTTCAGTGCCATTCATATGTGCATTCAACACACTTCTGAACAGATGTCCCAAAATTTCACAATCATCGTTTTTTTTTTACAGGAATAAAAATTAGCGCCCCAGACAATGACATATGGCATGAAATCTACCCCCAAAAACACCTTGCTTACAGTAACAGTTACCCGTTCAGTTAAAACATCTAATCCAAGAATTTCATTCAACGACTAGAATCGCCAATCGAAAGGAAACCAGAGAAATCGACCCTGGCAAAACAACTTTAGCAGCAGCAAGGATAGAAAGAAAGACAAAGAGGGAGAAAGGCGGTGCCCGGCTCACCCTTTCCTTGCGCGCCTCCTTCTTGAGCTCGAGCTCCTGGAGCGCCTGCGCGCGGCGGGCCTCGAGGGCCTTGAGCTCCTGCTCCTTGAAGGGCCACTCGTTGGGGATCCCGGGGTCCTTCTCGACCTTCTTCCTGTGGCTCTTCCCTTCCTTCTTGGCCTCCTTGCGCTTCTTGCGGTGGTGCTCCTTCACCTTGCGGAGCACCTTGTGCTTCTGCCGCAGCGTCACGCGCTTGCTCTTGCTCTTCTTGCTCTTCTTCACCATCTTCTCCTCCTCGCGATTGCTAGCCGCCGCCGCCGCCGCCGAGGGAAGAAGGGAAGGAAGGGCCGAGGAGGGGAGGAGGAGGAAAGAGGAAGGAGGCGTTGGAGGGAGATGAGCTAGGGTTTTAGCTGGCGGCTGCGCGTGGTTCCGCTCAGTAATGGGCTGGGCCGACCGTAAAATCGGAGGGTCGTGGTGGCTATTGGGCTGCCACGTAAGTACCCTTCTGTTACAAGAGGAAGGAACTAGTCCACATTGCGTCCTCCTCTTTCCGTCGAGTTTAATCGGCAACTCTAAACCGCAATACGAGAAATCTTCACCCCCTAACTTATTAAAATCGTTAAAATCAGATCCTCCGGCAGTATAGATGGCTGTTTTTTTTATGACTAGACGTTTACGTGGGGAAAAAATGAGCCCCACGTGTCATCCTCACTCTACTCCTCCCCCTTTCTTCTCCATCTCTTATCCCCTTTTCTCTCCAACTCTCGAGAGGAGCAAGCAGCGCGCAGGTGCAGCTTGGAGAGCTGATGGATAGTGCAGTTGAGGAGCGACCTAACATGGGGGGTGGTGTGCCCGCCTACGTGTGGACCACGATGCCCAGTGAGGGGTGGGGATCGAAGGTGAGGGCGAAAGGCGGGCGGTGGGGAAGGCAGCCGGCGAGCTCACCTAACCTTTGTTAGGGGCGAGTCCTTGGCGGGGAGGTGGGACACGATGTCATGCAAGTGCACATCGGGGAGGCTGCTGATGCGGTTGAAGCTGCCACGGCTCGCTTTCAATGCATAGGTGAGGAGGCTAGTGTCAACAAGCGGTAGCAGGACGAAGTAGTGCACGACCATAGAGATCATGCCAATGTTGGAGTCCAGCATCCTAGCGTCCATCTGTCCCTCGGTCCGTCGCAGTATCTCGTCAACGGTGAAGCCCACGAGCACATCCTCCTCATTGCGTCGCGGTTGCGCCATGGTCGCGGCGCCAACAAGGGTTTGGAGCATGGTGGATTGGGATCTAGGATTGGAGAGCGTGGAGTGGAGTGGTGGACAAGGCCTACCTCCTCCCCGCCTATCCCACGTGACAGCCATCATCGTAGCCACCTACCGAAGTAGTTAATCCAGCTTGGTCGTGCAGAATCGAGCAGTACCGACTTGCAGGGCATAAAAGAGAGCCCCTCGACATGTCTTGGCGTACCCTCCCCATCATCGCGGCTCCTCCTCCCACTCCCTTGTCGCGGACTACAACACACACCGAGGGTCTGTGTCGACCTTGCCCAAAGGACGCCATTGACCGGGGATGAGCCCCAGTCACATGTACGGCGCGAAGAGTGAGGGCCCGCATGAAGATTAGGGAGCAGCCATACGGGTTGAGGCAGTAGTAGGGAGCGGCGATACGGGTTGAGGCACTGGCTAGGCCCAATATGTTAGTGGCCCAGTCTTCCCCCCCCCTCCACTTTCTTCCCTATCTCTATCCAGGCCTCCAAGCGTGCGCCCAATAGGGAGAAGGATGGCCGGTGGTCGGTAGGGAGAAGGGCAGCGACGTTGGGAAGATAGGAGAGAACAAAGAGGGTGATAGGGGGATAAAGGAGAGAGAGGGAAGCTAGGAGTAATCGTCATCAACAATGCGACGAGGGAAGCACGAGCTCGGCGAGGAGAGCAGGGAGGTCCATGGAGCATGATATCACCGCGCTGCTCAACCGCCACCACCAGCATCAACGAGTGACCCGCGGTCGTGCTTGGACATGGCCACCCTCCCCCGTTCTCGCTCCTCCTCCACTCCCACCGCTTCTCCTCGTGGCGCTCCTCCCCAATGTCCCCGTTGCGTCTGTCCTTCGCATTGTACTCTCCCCCACCAATGCTCCCTGTTCACCTCCTCCTTGCTGTCCATCTTGCAATCGCATCCGATAGATAGATAAGAAGGAAGAAGATGTTGTTTCACTTTCATGTGGGTCTCATATGTTTTTCTTTTTAATTTTTGCTTCTGGTGCTACATCAATGTCATGTTAGCCAAAATAACCTTCAATACTGCTTTTAGAACCGTAGTTATATTGGTTTTGAAAGATAAGGGACATATTATATTTGGTATTGCGGTTCAATGATGCAATTCAAGCTCATAAAGGACCTAAAGTGAACTTATTCTGTTACAAAATACAACCTCCGTTTTTTAATAGATGACGCCGTTGAATTTTTCTCACATGTTTGACCATTCGTCCTATTCAAAAAATTTATATAATTATAATTTATTTTGTTATGAGTTGTTTTATCACTCATAGTACTTTAAGTGTGATTTATATCTTATATATTTGCATAAATTTTTTGAATAAGACGAATGGTCAAACATGTGAGAAAAAGTCAACGGCGTCATCTATTAAAAAACGGAGGGAGTAAGGCCTTAATTTTGATTTTGTTTTCAAACACAGTAAGACGTGCATATAACTACTGTTTTTGTAGCACCTGTTAACCAATATAAGCTTCAATGAAGTATTTTCTTCCGGTAGAAGGACCTCAGAGCCAATCCATCATATATTCTCTATCATTAGAAAAAGGGAATAACTATCAAGAAAAAGAACGAACAAAATTCAGCAATGCGCAATAAACCTAAGACCATGTGGGACAAAACTGAATATTACACAAATTTTCAATCCTGATTTATTAGCTTCTTAGCTTATTTGCCACTGCCAAATTTTGAATTTTGAAACTTAATTTTGGAGTTAATTTTGTAGTCTTGTCAACGTAGTATATTTTTCACTATTGGCTTTTAAATCATTAACAACACATATATGAAAAAGTTTTACCATAAATTGTTATCTTGCTTCATTCATTTTTTTATGGATTGTCGGCTTAAACGATCAGAACCAAAGCATAATAGTTATATATGTTAATCTTGACAATCTTGACAAAGATGACCAATGAAAAGATAAAGGCGGCACACCCTCTACTGGATGTTTTAGTTTTTTGCTGTACTCTTGCCTGGGTACATTATTATGTATTTATGTGTAGAGGATGCAGCCTGCAGATGTATCGTTCATCTTCCATTGTCAATTCAGGCAAATGTCTCTGTTCACCGCATGTGTTCAGGCGCAAGTGATTTGTGTTTCTCTGTCAACACGTGTTCAGGAGTACTCCATTCTCCTTATTCTGCCACGCATAGACCAGCTTCTTTCTTGAAAGGAAATAACAGAAATTGTAAAACAGACAGAATAATACTACTTCCATCCCAAAATCTCGATTTTGAGTCAGTGAATAATTTGCAGGCTCCCTAAATGATACAGTATATATGCTTCAGTGTGGTCTCCCGTTGTTCTGTCCCAGGAGCATCACAAGTAAAATGAAATAAATTGAACAACAGAAACCAGGGTTTTGTTCCTATCAACTCAGAAAACCCTTCTTTCTAAAAAGTTAATGCCACTAAATACCTAAAACTCAGCATAGATTTCTAAAATCTACATACAAGCATGTCACATCAACCCAATGAACACACAAAGCTCAACATACAAATATATAGTAATTATATCTACAATTTATTCATGCTACACATGATAAATCATCATTCACAAATCATTTCATAATATTTCAATCCAAATAATTTCATCATTTCTCCAATATCTAACATATATCCCGCAGTAAAACGTGAGGCATCATCTAATTCCTTATTGATTTTGTAAGCTTGCAGACTATTGTTAATGGAACCAGTAGCCCGTCTACATAAACGTGAGCTATATAACAGGGCTATAAGAAAATCTACGTACTCCCTCCGTCCCATAATATAGTAACCTATGCATCTGTCTAGATTCGTTGTCCTATAAAATGTCTCATCCGGTCCTAGGTTGCTATATTATGGGACGGATGGAGTATATGAATAGCTAATTGTTGGATGCACCTGAAAATTTTAAGTTTCCAGTCACCTAAAATGGCACATAGCTAATCCTAAATTGCAATGCTATACAAATACAATGTGCAATTTTATTTCATTTTAACTGCAACAAGGAAGGAAGCCCGCGGTGATGCGTGGGCATTTTATTTTTTAATAATAATGAGAATACTAAAAGTAGTATTATCTTACCATATTCATCTTATAAATTCACCATAAGAGATGGTAAATTTTCTTATAATGGTAACTAAAATAGAAGAAAAAATACTCATGCCGTGAAATAGATCATATACTTTGATATACTAAATTATAATGTCTCTCAAATTTCAAACAAAAATCTCTTAGTCCATGCTTAGATATAAACTCACCTATCACCACTACAGATTATTATTGTCTTGAAAGTTGGGTCCCTTTTCATAAATGGAATTGTATTAGTACCATAAAAAGAGTCTAACACATAAGTAATACAATAAAATAATCACGAACACTTCACACATAATTCTCTATCTTATGTCCAAATCTATCTGTAGATATTCTTAAGCTATTCCTACCAATTAATAGGGTAGTACAATTAAAATTAAACTTGAATGTCTCTCTAACATGTGAGACCGGCTAACACTTCTAAGAACCATGTGAAAAAAACATTTGCTTGAGTAACAATCTCTCACTAACACAGGGGTTAGTGGGTTTCAATATTTCTTTCTTGTATTATATCTGAACTTTTTTAAATTTTTTCCCGTGCAATATTACATCCCTAGGTAGCATGTATGTTTTTTTTCAGCGAATAGCTTGTACTACGTATGTAAGTTTAGGCGGACAGATCATAAGCATACGAACATAACAACATTTAATCTGAGTATCGAGAGGGGAGAATTGATTTTTTGCCCGATCTTGTATATGTAGGTATTATGTATGTTTTTTTGGGAGAATGGTGTGTCCTACGTATGTATGCATTTTTTCGGCTTTTATCCGGCGAACAATTTGCACGTATTTTTCTTGTCGTCGTACATACACGTATGGACATATGGATGGATGCTTTTCAATTGGTGTACAAATTAATGTATGGATTGTGTGTCGTGCTAAATTGTTATATGTATCAGATATTCAGAAGATATTCAGAAGGTAGCTAGGCTTGTCCATCTTGCTAAGACCAACTCCTACAAAACTTCTCGTGCATAAAAATTGTTCAAAAAGAGAAGTTCACACACACATAATTGTGTCATACCTGCACGTGCAGTAGATTAGGAGGGAGGTTTTTTTTTTCGTCGTTGTATACAACCTAGTACATACACGGAAGAAGATTAGGAGTGGTGGATTTTTAAAAGATCTAATCTAATGGTCTAAAATAATGGGTTCACCGATTTAAATGAAAATAGAGAGTTTGAATGTTTCCTGTCACATGGCGGACTAAGAGCGTTTATATAGTGCCATATGGCAGTTTAGGAGCGTTTATAGTATGTTTAATGGACTTTTAGTATATAATAGATAGATCGACGGTAAGAAAGCAGAGCAATGGATAACGTGAGGCGCCGCCGTGGTGTGGCTTCTTCTCGACCTCGTAGGAGTACTTTTGGTACATATGCACAGTTTGAAAAATAACTTAGAGATCGAAGGAAAGAGAAAACTACCAGACGGCCGGGTCCTACGTAGTTGTATTGTAAAATACAGAATGTAGGGTTCCATTAAACGATTATGTTATATAGACAACTAATCAAAATTATACGGTAATAAATATTTAGTATATATCTATCATTTATTCGAGATATTTAGATGTGTCAATATATATATCATTCTAATACTCTTCTCAACTATCCAACTGATCAAACGTACACTAATCACGTGCTGGACTGCTGGGTGCTAGACTTAATTTGTGTTTTGGTGGTTGTTTTTTGTTCACTACAGGAGATAATTCCGATCCGACTCGTTGGTTCGTGACAGTCTCGTCGCCTCCGTATATACCCATTAACATATGAATAATGGACCGTAGATTCGTACGGACAGATTTTTTTCTTTCCTTTTAGCCATTAGATTAGATTAGATTTGTTACATTAGCCGGTTTTTAGGAGAGAGAGATTTTAACAAATCTAATCTAATGGCTAAAAATAATGGCTCCATATGTTTGCGCATAAATCAATGGCTAGATTTTTTTTTCCAGAATTTCTTATATTTTCTCTAATTTATTAGAGCGCCACATGGCATCATGAGAGCGTTTGTAGAATGTCACGTGGCAGCTTGAGAGCATTTGTAAAAAGTCTAATGGATTTTTAGTATATAATAGAATATGTTGTACTTGTATATGGTGTTGCTTCCTTTTTTTTTATCTAAGTTTTAACACTTTTACATGTGAGTTTGTAAGATTTTATGTGTTATATTTATTTCCTGCTTAGTTAAAAAATTTTATTCAACCTTTATGTAAAAGAGGACTTTGATTTTAAATGTATATAATAATTGAAGTTTCTGGAACTTCGGTTGCATCAGGAAGGGCTAAAACTGCCACCCTGCAGTCCACCAACTACTTCACTACCTAGTTCTGGACCAATGATGAGGAGTAGAGCAGTTGCAAGTCCTACTTTAGGACATGAACAAATTGGATCACCTGGTAATTCTGGACCAATGACAAGGAGTAGGAAAACTACAAGTCCAACTTTGAGACATGAACTTAGATATGAAATAGATCAATACTTATGTTCAATGATGCAACAAGATATAGCAATGCTCTGAATTTATGCGATGGTCTGATTTTTTTTTATATTATACACTTATTCTATGATGGTCTGAATTGATGTTGTCCTGCACGTGCATCAGTACTATCAGATTTTCCCTACAGATTGTGGCTAAAAAATTACTCTGCTTGATTTCTTATAGTGCAATGCCATTCAACCCTGAAAAGTGAACAATGCCATTATGTTTCACTGAAATTGAACACTGGAAGTGAATTCAACCGAGTGAAATTTACAATCAGTACAAAACTTTCAGTACGGACCATTCCTTGCTAAAACCATCATCAACAGAACCACAAAGGTTGCAGAACCAGTCATCCAAACAAGGGTTAATATATACTTCCTCCGTTTCACAATGTAAGTCATTAACATCAATATGAATGTGGGAAATGCTAAAATGACTTATATTGTGAAACGGATGAGTAACTAACAAAAACGGCTGGAGTACGCCTCCGCCTCCATCATCACCAATACTCGTATACAAACATTTTCCAACTCCAGAATCATTTAACCAAAAAAAAAATTCAATCTTTGGACAGAAACATTTTTCTTTGGTCCCTGTAGCCGAAATGAAGACCGTTCGAAACTATATACCATACAACAGATTGATACAATTTGACCATATCTTGTGCATGAAATTTCTCTCCTCATCCATGTCAGCAGAATATTGCATATCATGTAGACACGAGTCCTATCTTCCAAAAAACTGTGCCCAAAGAATTCCAGAACACCTCACTTCTCATCCTAGCAAAATGTGACGAAGAATCTACAGTAACAGCCATTTTGTAGCCACGGCCTTCTCTGTCCAAGAAATGACGTGTGCATAAAAACACAAAAAAGCTTATAAAAAGAATTTAATTTTACAGTTACTAATAAAGTAGAAGAAAGATGGCTAGAAACAGTAAAATTTATTTCAACACCATATATCACATCAGTAAACGGCACCTGCGAAAATTCAGGCTTGTATAATCACCAAATCTTTTAGCTAATTGCTTGGCATGTGTTGGTTCTAAACTCTTCTCTCCATCTCAGCATCTGTGTCAAGACTCCCTGGTCTTGGGAGACCTGCATTACAGAGGAGCAAACAGGATGAGTTGTTATTTGTAACACCAAAAAGGAACTGCTGAAAAAAAAGGGTGCCTCCACATGGACCTTAGCATCATCTGGCAGTCCCTGTGTTCATATGAATACCAAGGAAATGATTGAAGGATCGAAGCAAGCCAATTGGAAAAGACACATGCCATTCTCCTCTGCATCATCATGAACCAGCTGTTCCATTCTCAGTCATCCATGGTTCTCATCCTCTGTCAGGTTTATTTGCTGTTGGCGATCACATGGAAGCAGCTACTAGCCTACTATTAGTGCAAGGTTTGTTTATATACTACTCCCTCCGTTTCACAATGTAAGTCATTCTAGTATTTTCCACATTCATATTGATGTTAATAAATCTAGATATGAATGTGGAAAATGCTAGAATGACTTACATTGTGAAACGGAGGAAGTACATGATAATTATCAACAAGGAATATTAGCACATCATCAATAGTACTAATGAAATTAAGTTGGTTAATTAATGATAACTAAATCACTTTAGTACATACTTTTCCAATTTTTTTCTCTAGCCTAGTCAGTTAGAGCTAGTATTTTCTAGTTCATGTCCCATCTAATCCCCCCAAGCAAATACTACCATATTGGGCCTCCAGGATCCGGGTCATCCCATTCCTTTAACCAAACAGATAGACAAAACCATCTCATTCACCTCAGCCCTCAAAAAAAGGATTCCCCTATCTTTTTCTACCTAAGCCCTAAGGTTGCATTATTGTTTTCCAATCATATAACCATTGACCATCACATTAGCAATATTGTATCTAGAAAGACATAGCATGAACACAACACAGAAGCATCCTACCAAATGAAAGGGCACAAATATATTAAAGCACAGCAAGAAGCAACCTATATGTTACAGGTTGCAATACTTCTTTGAGCACAGGCCCATGACACCACTGGCCAGAAAAGAAGCTTGGCTCCAGAAAAATTGCAGTATGCATGACATTTCCCATTTGCTCTCAGGGCAACGCCTCAAGAGAAATTGACAACCAGATAATCACTGCATCACATGCCAAATGCCAATGCAACATGCAATTTTAACCTAATAACTAACTGAATGAGCACAGAGGCCTCAACATTAGAAAAGATAGCATGGTTTGGTTTGCACCACAGCTGCGTGGTGTATGAACACCCTACTAGAAGAGCATACAAGAGACCAGATCCTTACTATCTCCAGGACAGTCAGCATCAACATTTGCCAATCAGCGGCCGCTCCGGAACAGGAAAGTATCAGGAACAGAAGCTGGATCCAGCTCATAAAAGCCACAGAGTTTGCCACCGTTTTCTTTTGTCAGCCGGAAAGAAGGTATCAGGTGAGAAAACCTTATGTTTTCATTTGTAGGTATCTCCAGAGTGCCCCTTACACTGTCAGGCTTGAACACAGCTCTGTAGCCATCTACTCGGGTCAAAAGTAAGACTTTTGTGCTAGCTTCAGTGCAGTCAGTAATTTCACCAATTGTGTACTCGAAAGTATCCTTGCTGGAAGGAACCCAACCAGGTGCCCAATTATTGTAGATGGCCCAAATTTCCCCTACTTGTGGATGAATTTCAAAGTATCGTTTCCAACCAACTTGGCTAGTTTCTACTAAATGAGAGAAAGCATCATTCGTGTCTAACTTTATCCTCCAGTTGCGGATTTTAAAAGTCCCACAGCTCACAGGAATATTCTGCTCTAACCACATATTCTCCTGCTCCAGCTGAGGGCAGACTTCGAGCCAAGTCAAATGCACTCTGAACGGATCTGTATCAACTTTGGTCACCCAACCATAGTACTTTGGAAATTGATCAAGATCACTGTAAAGAGCCCATATCTGGCCACGTTCAAACTTACTATATGATCGATATTCTTCAAAGTTATGAAATTCAGAGTTTGGGTAATCAAAAGTACTGGGGGAGGAATAGGCAGCACTCTGTTGATGCACTGGGGTTCGTTCAAGGGAATGATCTTTACGTTTACCTTCGTTCATCAAATTTTCTTTCAGCGCACCTTGCTCATATCCAGTGAAATCATTAAATCCACTGTTCATTGTCTTGCAGACAGGCATGCAAGAATCAAGAGTAACCGATGGAAAGGCTACGTCCAAGTTACTAGGAAGTGATGCAGTATCTAGTTCAAGAAACCCACCAGCAACACCTACCTTCTCATCTCCCTTTGTTCTAAAAAATGGGATACTGTGAGAGAACCGTAGCATTTCGCTTGGTGGTATAACGAATGATGGTTTCTCCTTTACTTTTGCAAAGAGACTCACAAAACCTTTAATCTTTACCAAAGGGCCAACAGCAGCACCAGCTTCCACTGTGAAATTTGACAAGATCTCCACAGCTTCATACTCATAGGCTCTATGCTTATCTGCATCTGAGCTCCACTGCATACTCCAACCCTTATATAGAGCCCATACCTCACCCTTCCTAGGATATATTTCGTATGAGCTCCTTTTTCTACCTTTCACCCATGACACAATATGAGAAAACATGAGGGCATCTTGTGACACCACTGTTTTTCCTAAGAAAAAGTTCCCACAAGCCACAGGCAATTCTTCATCAGTCCATTTGTCCTCTTCCTCATTCTTTGCATCATGCTCCAGCCAAGTGAACTGAACTCTGAAGTTGGTTGTATCAATGCGTCTTATACGAGCATAATATCGTGGCATGCCATCACGGTCATCATAAAGTGCCCAGATCTGATCAACTGCAAACATACTAACATCCCTGCACCTATCGAAGTCAAAAAATTCTGGGTCAGGATAGGAAAAGTTCCCAGGAATGCCAGATTTCTTCTGAGCATTTGTATCATGTGCAACATCTTTCCTTTTTTCCTGGTTTCCTTCATTGCTAGTAGTTCCTTTCTGGTGGTTGTGTGCTTCGCTGGAGACATGAGGTTCACAAGCTTGTCCATCAGCACGGACAACATTATCATCAGCCACTTTCTTACGACTTGAGTCAGGATTTGAAAACCAATCTAATATGGTTCGCCTCTTTTTGCTAGGCGTATCCTGGATGATGCTGGCATCAGCATTTTCCTTCCTCCTAGCCGATCTCCGTGGATTAGGAATATTCATCACACCTGTCTCTGCTGATGTATTTACCCTATTACCAGGGTTTTGTCTACCAGCAACATCTGGAGTAGGGCACGATGTCATCTTTCCCCCTGCCTTACTACCAACATTTGCTGCAGAAGATACATGCAGTGTTGAAAATTCAAGTCCCCCTTTTCTGATTGACTCTGTATGGTTAACTGTCCCCTCACCACCTGCTCTGACACTGGCACTGTTTTTCATTTGTTCATCATGTTGTCCTCCATTCACCATGGGCTTTGCATCTCTATTCGCTGCAGAAGAGAACTTCGTAGAACAGTCCTCTTGTTTGGGAACGTCACAATGTTGTCCTGCACTTTTGGCTGCACTTGATGAGAATACAGAAGGCACATCCTGTTCATTTAGCATAACTGCTCGAAAATCTTTTTTGCAGTTCTGACAACGGAGTTTATGATTCAGAACATTGGAGTAGTACTGATATTTAGTTTTACAGTTAACACACATTGTCCAGAATGCTTCTCCAGCACTGGGTGGTCGAACTGATGATCCATATCCTTCCTTAGCATTACTAGCTCTATTTGCATCTGTTTTCTCCATTGGTTCAGTAGCATGCTTCGGTTGAGTAGCCTGCATCGGTTGTGTACTCTGCTTTGGCTGTGCACTCTGCTGTGTATTATGCGTTGGTTGTGCACTCTGATTTCGTTTTGTAGCCAGCGGTGGTTGTGTACACTGTTTTGGTTGGGCAGCCTGCGCTGGTTGGGCACCCTGCTTTGGTTGCGTAGCCTGCTTTGATGCAATTCTCCATTTGATGTCATATGCACGCCGTTTTGTTCGATCAGACAATGTTGACTGAGCTTCTGCAACTAATTTGAAAGCAGCTTCAGCGCCAGCGAAACCGTTTTTATCAGGGTGAAGCGAAAAAGCAAGCTTGCGGAATTGCTTTTTAATGGTTGCTTCATCCGCCATTACATCCACTTGGAGAACTCCATAGAAGTCCAATAGTCCATTCATCTTTGCTTCTGCCGCACAATGTACTTCACAGACAGTTAACATCTGGGATATGTTCTCAAGCTCTGGAAAAATCCTTTGAGCTTTAAGCGCGATCCTTTTGGCACCAACAAAGTCTTTGCTTTCCATCTTCTTTGCAGCAATATCCCTGGCCTTGAGGGCCTCTTCTTTGTTGCACTCCATCATTCGGCTCACCAAATTGATTCTAGAAAATCACAGGCCTTCTTGACATAACCCACTTATACTTTCTTTGATGCCATTTTCCAAACTATCTCAAAAGAGCATATGGATCTTCTCTCATATGGAACCAGAGCCTATGGCTTAACAAGTTCTGCAAATTTGTAAAAAAAAGAAAGTAATGTAAATAGAAAACCACAGGCTATAGGTACAAATGCAAAACAGTGAAAATATGCGGTCATGGTAATTTAGGGGCGGACCTTACGTTGGGCATGGGGGTTTACTTGAACCCCCAAAATCTTGATTTGGAAACGAACTTCTATTGGTTAGGGCAAAGAGAAAAAGGCTTCCAGATCTACAAGAGAAGCCAAGGTTAAGGGCAAAGAGAGAGCGTGTGGGTAGAGATAAATGAGGAAGAGGATTTCCGTACCGGGTGCCCTCACCGGCGATGATATTGGTGGAAGCAGCAGCACGTGCCCCGCGCCGGCGCTCCTGCTCGCGGTCACGGGATGGAGGCCGGCCCCGCCGCTCGCGGGATGGGGATCGGCGGCGTCTCGGCGCAGCGCAGGCGGCGGACGAAGTGGGCGAGGAGCCGAGGAGACGGGAGGCCGAGGCCGAGGGGAGATCGGACATCGGACTAGGGAGGGAGCATTGCGTAAGCCAGAGGTGGGACTTGGGCCGACCCAGGCTAGCACGTCACAGCCCATTGTAGGTAATTCGTGCCGAAGCGTCAGGGAGAATAAAGTCCACTTTAACTCTCTCAAATATATGTCCATCTAATTCATACTTCTATACTCCCTCCATCCAAAATGATCATCATATAAGTTTATACATCAAGACCAAAGATAATTTAAATCGCATCAATTAATACATCATGCACATATTCTCCCGCAATACATGTATCGATTAAAACACCATACTAATTACACCTTAGCATGCACACATTCTCCCATGATGCATTATTCCGATGAAATTCGTGTCCATGTGATTATATGATGATCAATTTGAGAAATTTTGGATTCCATTATATGATGATAAATTTGGAAAGGAGTGAGTATCCCTCAACCACAAAACCGGATATAATAACAACTCCAATTCTTGACACCGGTTAAAAAGACTCTCAGAGCAGTATTGGCAGTATTTGCTGACGTGGTGTCCACGTGGTAGCCCCATCACTAAATAAAATAAAAAAGAGACATATGTCCTACATACTAGCGTCTTCTCTTCTCCTCCTCCTCCCTTCATTTATCCCTTTTCCCCAACCACGACACCAACTCCGGCAGTGCGGCGCCCTACATGCTAAGCCATCGCTTTCTCCTTCTTCGGTGTTCACATGGGCGTTGGTGGCGTCAGCAATAGTAGAGGGAGAAATGATAAGCGTAGATGTCGACCAATTGACAGTCTAAGAGTTGATAGACGCAAACAAACCAGATAGCTAGCCACCCTGGCTAACAGGTTTTACATTATTTGGTCCATAATTAACTAAGCAATGTGGTGGCTAGATGAATGGATGTAATCTTATATATGAATTACTCAATTGAATTGGTGTTATGTAATAAACTGCTTTTTATATTTTGTTATCCATACGGAGACATATAAACATAAACAAAGAATGTGTTGAAATACATTCAAAACTATATCAACCATCATTTTATGCATATATTAGTACAAACAATTATAGAGGAGTGTTTGGGCATATCAAATTTATACACGCAATTAGATATATTAGTCTGAACGAGGGCATCTGGGTGAGTACGAGCTGCCACTCTCAGTAGGAGCCGAGCTGTCAAGATGCTAATGCGAATCGTAACTTGTAGATTTTGATTCTTATTCTAATTGCCATGACATGATGCCACCAATGTCCACCTGAGCTAAAGTCAGTTCTCACATCTCCTGGTTGGCACCCCAATTTGTAAAATCCTGGCTTCGCCAATATGTTCATCATACCCTTACACTATTAGTTTCCGATGGTAGAAAAGGGTCTACGTAGTACTTAGAATCACGGTTTTTTTTAATAAAACGAACGATATTTTTGCGATTGCATTGTGTACTTAAAAAAGCTTATTTCAACGAGGAACGGACAAGAGATTTTCGCTTGTTTCATCCAACCCCTGTACCGTGCGCACCGTCTTGTATGTAGCGCACGCGCACTGAACAATTAGAGACGTGAGACGGAGCGGAGAAAAGTATGACGATTCCACGACCCGCTGCGTCACCCCCTGAACGGCAAAGATTCATCAAACTTCTCCAGCGGCAATTCCAATTCGGCCATTCCCACACCAAACCAACCAAAAACCAAAAACCCACTCCCACCCACTTCACCAACCCACCCCCACCCACCCCTCCCCTCCACCTGCGCCCGCCCGCCACCAGGCTAGACCCAGCCTGACCAACCCACCCCCACTGCTTGCCGATCGCTCGCTCGCTCGCCGGCGAAGGACGAGGGGAGAGATGACGCTCCTGTGCGTGCCGCTGGTGTCGCGCACGGTGGAGGCGATGCAGGCCGACGCGGCGGCGGCCGCGGCCGCCGGCGCCGACCTCGTCGAGATCCGGCTCGACTTCATCGAGGGGTTCCGCCCGCGGGAGCACCTCCCGAGCCTGCTCCGTGGCTGCCCTCTCCCTGCCCTCGTCACCTACCGGTGAGATCCCCCTCTCCTCTCGCCCTCTACCCCTTCTCTCAGGAGGCGGGCTCCAGATTCTGCGTCCATTTCCCGGTATATCCGCAGCGCGTGCGCAGATGCTTTCACGTGTGTTCTCGTGCGCTTGCAATGTTCGATGCTTTTCAGCTGATTCCTGCTTTGTTTTGGGTGGCGTCGCCCCCGTTTTTGGGATGGATTTTGGGTCAACATCTAGTCATAGCCAACTGCATTTTGTGTTCTCCGTTAGAATCAGCTTGTTTTTGACGCCGCGCCGTTTAGGCCGCCCGATCATAACAAAAATTAACAACAATTGAGTATCCACAAATGGTGGAGGTGAACAATTACAGATAAGTCCGTGGAAGATGTGAAAAATTGCAGAAATGCCCCTCGGCAGGTGGATATTTGCAACTTTGTGCCGTTGATCCTTAATATTTGCAAGTATATTCTCGTGAATGTTTAATCTCAGTTGATTATCGTCGACCTTTAGTTCGTCGAGGTAGTAGGGGAGACATGGTGCATGGAGGAACAGGGGAGACTTAATTAATCCCTGGCACGGAGAACGGAGCAGCGATTACCGGGTGATTAATTAAGTATTTACTATTTTTTTTTCAAAAATGGATTAATATGATTTTTTAAGCAACTTTCATATAGAAATTTTTTTGTAAAAAACGCACCGTTAAGCAGTTTGAAAAGCGTGCGCGCGGAAAACGAGAAAGGGAAGTTGGGAACTAGAGGCAACGAACGCAGCCTTAGAGGGATAGATTGATTATTCATTGCTTATTTAAATCTCACCTACAAACCTAACACCATCTCTAAGATACAAACCTCATCCTCATGTACTACCAACTATATTGACGATAGGTTGTGGTGCTGAGGATAGGGTAATGTCCTTGGAGACTGTTGGCTCACAGGCAATTGTTAGCAAACTTGCAGGCCGCTGCGCAAGCACCATGTCAGGCATGATTGCAGCCATGTCAGTCATGTCAATTTTTTCAACTTCAGTTAAAAATTTATTAGAATAAATAGAGATGCTATGTTCTCTGTGAATACGACTGCTGTGTCTGTCATGGCTTCAATCATGCCATTTGTCAGTTATTCTTTTGGTCTTAACATATATTCCCTCTGTCCCATAATATAAGGGATTCTAGTTTTTTTTTTGTGGAGAGATTAAGGATGAATGAAAAAGACTATAATGCCCATCATTAAATGAGGGGGTATCTGTTGGGGGGGGGGGGGAGCAGGAAGGTGTTTGGGGGTTAGATTGGGTGGAAATTAAGTGAGAGGTGGTTGAGTGGAGGAAGCAGATATTTTGGGACAAAGTTTGAATTCTTGGATGCCTTATATTATGTGACGGAGGGGATAGTGAATTTGAAGTTGAAATCTGTACATTTCACGTTAATTTTAATACACACACTAATGACAGTTGCATATCCAAAAGAGTGACCACATAGCATATGTTGCCTAGAACATGGAATATTTGTTCTCCAAGTGGAGTCCATGTACGCATGCTATTCATAGCATAACCATGGTTTGAAACCTAAAGCCATGTCAAGACTAGATATAAACAAGTTATCTGGAGCGGAGGCATTTATTCTGTCCCAAAGAGAGCACATGACACAATTAATCTTTGACTAACTATTAAATTCTCAGTACCACATAAAATAAACAGAAACAACATCAATATTCTAGAAAGCTATCCAATGTTTTGATTAAATGAGTACTTGCATCATATGCCTTCCACAGTTTTTTTTTATTCAACTCACGGAAGGACCTGTAGCCTAATGAATAATGCTCAAGTAGCACGTGTAGGTCCTGGGTTTCACTCCCCATGAAGCGAATTTCAGGCCTAGTTAAAAAAAGTCACTCACTGGCCTCTCATAAAAACACGTGTTAAGAATTGACCTATGGCGGGCCCTCGTATAGGGAGCAGGGGCCTCAAAGCACAGGTTACGGACTGATCCATAGGGGGTGAGTCCGCGTGTGGGGGGCCAGGGTTCGTGGCTTTTCTCGACCGGTTTGGTTGAGGCTTCTTCTTAATGAAAAGCCATGGGGAAGTCATTCCCCCGCCAGTCGAGTTTTTTTTTTTTTAATTCAACTCACGAATTGATATGTTTTCTTTTGAAAAGGTATGTTGATAGATTTGGATGATTCATTGAGTGATTGTTCCTTAGGAGTATATTGCAAAACGAGTATGCTAACAGGTTTAACTGGTCCATTTGTTCGGTAATTTATGTAGTTAGTGCGTTCCAGGTCAGTTAACAAGTTTGTGGCACAAAAAACTTGCAATCAACTTTTGTCAGGTTTTGATCTGTCTTGCTGATTTCTGATCACACATTCTGATTTAACATGTCGTTATGAACTGTTGATGCAAACTAGTCCTATTTCTACTCGCTGATTTAGAATTACATGATTGACTCCTATTATTCATGTCGTTATTGTCGTGATTCCCCCTTTTGATCATTCTACCTGGCAGCTTGCGTTTTTTTACTATGGATAGCTTTTGAAGCCTACATAAATAGAAAAGATGCAACATTTTTTTTTTGTTCTGATACCATATAAACATCATGTATAAATTCAAACTTTAAATTGAAAATTGAGTATAATGCCAAGTACAAGGCTGGTTCCTGTATATGCATTCCACAGTGAGGTGATTGAATGAATACTAGCTGCTGAGTTTTAGAACCTTGAAAATGACTGCCTATCGTGTTATCATAATCCAATTCTTTTTTTTCCATATTTTTCCTTTGTGTACTATCCTAGTTTCTATACATTGTAAAAGCAATACTATAATGATAAACTCGTGGAGAATTTAATACTGGTGCAATATAATGTGCACCAGCTGAGTTCATTAGTTGTCAACTTTAGATGTTTTTTTGCAGATATATTATTTTATTCATAGTAAGTGGGTTAATTTGACATTAGGACTTTAAATATTCCCTTCATATCTGTTGAGTTGTTATATAAAAATGTTCCTTTTAACGATGTTTATGACCTGCCAATTGAAGTGTTACACCAACTATCAAGAAGTATCATCCTCGTAGCAAGCTTGATGGTAACATTTGGTCAGACTAGGGGCACAAAGGGGGATGATCAGCCTGTTGAGGTTCCCCACAAAGTAAAGGGCCAAATACAAACTAACCAAGGCCATAACCTAGCTGAGCAATCCAAAAGCATTGCATGGGCTAACCACTGTATATCACAGACCAACCCACCTACAGGGGTTTTGCATAAACACAACACTATTGTTTGCTCTATAGACAACTATTTAGTCCTCCAACTACTGTATCAGAGACCTTGGCCATTTTGATGGATCTATGACTCCAATAGTTGTCAATGACATGGTTGCCATGCAATCATGGCACATGGGGGGCACCAGGACGCCACGATGTCTAGGCTGGTCCCTAGGTGTCCTCAAGGTGAGATATGTCGAGCTAAAGGGGTTGACTACGGCTCATTGAATACATGGACAGCAAACTGAACACATGATCATAGATGAGAAGACGTACATGCTAAAAGGACATCTCAAAAAAGAATGGAGGGAGTACATGTATAGAGCGTGTTAATTCGCTATACATGTAAATCTATATATTCTGGAATTCTCTTACAGGTGCTAATTCCACAAGTTTTTCCATATTGGCTTGCTACATGGCATTTTGATCTGCATTAAACCAGCAAATTGATGCATGATCCACTAGAGAGGAGATAAGGAAAAGAGACAAAAGAGAGGGCGAGAATCAGAGAAATGCCTTTTGATTTCAGTTAACTTGTTGATTCATGGCATGATTTGGCTTACTCATATGGCTCAATACTTTGATGACTCGGAAAGTTAAGGGTTTAAATAACCGGTTTTAGAGCAGAGGGTCCAATCTGGATATTTATGAATGTAAACTGGGCAAACTGGACGTATCCCATAGCAAACATATAATAGTGAAGCACACATATCTCTTAATCTCATGCTGAGCTAGTCAATATCTCAAGGAATTGAATGGAATGCTGCCCACCTTTTCAGTTAGCATGTCATTGCTGGAATGCTGCTGGGTTCACACTGCATTGATACCCTGGTGCCTCATGCAACAACCTGGTGAAAAGTTAACTCTACTAAATCTAGAAAACTATTTGGAGAAAGTTTAGATCCATGTGTTTCTTTTTTGGATTATGGAGCTATTATGAATTTGTGATAACACATCCTTAAATTTTGTGGAAGGTTAAAACTAGCAAAAGTATAAACCTAAATTCATTCCTGCATAATATTGTACCCAAAATTGAGACACATCTTTTGCCATATTGTCTGACTCAGTTTGTAGATTTGTAAATACTTTATTCAAGTATGACCATAACGTAAGAAAAGAGTCCATCCAAGGCTCAGTTCGAAACAGATTATTGAGCAGATTGTTGCTGCGGATAATCTACTTGATGATAGGGAGAAATAAAATATTTTGATAAATTTACTTAACAAATAACTTAAAACAAGTGGTCTAAGCAATACATCAGGAGTATATTTTTTTGGAGAAAATGTATTTTTTGAAGTGTTGAGCAAATAATCCATTTCAACAATCTGGTAAATAATCTGAAAAGAACTAAACCCAAGAACCTAAAAGGTTTTTTATCTGTTCGTTCACTTCTGATTGAGACGTGGCACAATCATTTCTTATTTTCGTAAAAGCCGGCGTTTGGTTAAACACTTAAACTGATTGAGCGTATCTGTGGCCATTAATTAGCTTTCTATACTTGTAGAAATGAATATTTATATTATAGGATCTGTAAAAAAAATATACATAAAAGGTATATGCTTCTCCCATCCTTATATTTATCTTTTCATTTTGTGAGCTTTAGTTGATTTATTTTGTAGCTTTTTCCAACGTGAGTACTTTTTTATATTCACAATGTTGCAACCCACTTTGTAGTAGTTGGTCATACTTGTCTAACTTATGTATACTAGTTTACAACACTATGCTTTGCATAAATGACGTATCTGATTGTTTTTTTTGCAGACCCAATTGGGAAGGAGGCCAGTACGATGGTGATGATGCTACAAGATTTGAAGCACTCCGTTTAGCAATGGAGTTAGGCGTAGACTATGTTGATATTGAATTGAAGGTTTGTTTCCATAAATGTGTTAAACTGTTACGCTGTTCCCAATTAGTATGCAGTAATAGTGTAAGCATCCTTAGCGTTTCAAATTGATTAGTGCCCACCATTTGTGAAAGTGCATGATACACTGTGTAAAAAACTTCTGAAAATACATGTAATGTAATACACACAAGAAATTTCATATTTAAACCTTGCTGCTCTACTTTATTTTTTTTTGTTTGTGTTTTTGTAAATGCATGCACTGGACATTGTGCAATATACATAATCATTTCCCCCATTTTTCTGTTCTCCACAATACAAATGATTTGAGCATGAAAATGTGGTGTGTATGTACTGCACATAACTTTGAAAATGAGTTCTCGGTAAATTTGGAAAAGCACATTATAGCTTCACAGGTGGAGGTGCCTATATGGGCACTTGTTCATTCATTCTAAATGATACTATGTTAGTATCTCTATTGCTTTTAATATTCAATTTTATTGCTCACCAGTAGATTAATCATACCATTAACTTCAGATGGAATCCATTTGCCAATCATTCTTTTATATACTTCAGTGTTTAGCTGCCATTTGGCTATCACACTAAAAGATAACTCCAGATGAGGAAATTTAATTGAAAAATGTCCTATAATTGATAATGAATGCTCAATACATCCTTCTTATGCTCAATTTGTGGTTAGTGTCCTGTGATTTCCTCTAAGCTTCTCTGGAATGAAATTGTAATTTTTTTGGTATTTATTAAATAGAGTTAAAGTTGCACAGTTCATGTTTTCCAGTTGTTTTAGGTAAATCACGAAAGATTTGTGCATCTTTGTATTAACAAAGGAGCAAACTAACAAATAAAACGTCTCACAACAGAAAAAAGGAACGCCTAACTGTCTGAGACAGTAAGACTAGCCCAGAAAATGAAAATAATACAAGGTAGCTCTAACTAATAATCTTGCAGGCAGATTTTTTTTTCAGTTGTTATTCTATCACGTCTTATGTCATATGTTCTGGAACACAATACAAGGCCTGTTTATAACTGGATTAAGACAAACATTTAGCAAAACACTCTAAAATAATTTACTCTTCCTCAATTATCAAGCCATGTACACCCATATGCCTCATTTATTTGAGTTCACGATTTGGAATACATGCACACAATTGTAACCAACTTTCCTTTTTTTTGTAGGTTGCTGACAAATTTATCAGCTTTATTTCTGGCAGTAAGCCAGAGAAGTGTAAACTTATTGTCTCATCACACAATTATGAAAGTACTCCGTCCTGCGAGGAGCTTGCAGATCTTGTGGCTAGAATACAAGCAGTTGGATCTGACATAGTGAAAATCGCAACAACTGCTAGTGACATTGCTGATGTGTCACGAATGTTCCAAGTGATGGTGCACTGCCAAGTAAGTGTCATTGTATAAAATCCAAGATACATTTTCACTCTTCCATCTGGAAACTTGCGTCACCTATCCTGTATAATCATCCTGTACATCTTGATACCACTACTGCATTCCTTTTAGATTCATGCTGTTTTTAAATTACTTCACACGGAAATCGTTCTGTCTAATGATCCCTAGCTCAGGCCAGTAAACATTCCTCAAACTTTGTATGAAATGCTTCCTAGCTCCTATGGTTTGGAAGTCATTTTTTTTAATGAAAACATTAGGACTTGCAATTTAATTTTAGCATATTGGCTTTTAGGAAATTGCATTTCACATATTGTACTTCAGTTAAGCTGTATGAGAATTTCACCAATCTAACCTGTAGTATTAAACTTTTTTTTCAGTCCCTTCTGTTATACTGTACTTTCCATATTCAAATCTCCCTATTTACCAGTGAAAGCAAATAATATCATTAATTTTTAATAGAAAATCATTACTTACCATTGTGATAAAATTGGTTGCTTGCACAGAGGATGTGAATAGTGATAAAATTGGTCGCTTGCAGAGAGGATGCAAATTGAAATATCGGACCAATTAAGCTTTTAAAACTTTATGTGTTTAGGAGAATTTTAAGAAGAAAACTAAGCTCATTGGCAAAGCTGTGCTCGTTTGTTAGCTTATTCTTATGTCATCATGTTTGGTGTTATTTATTACTCCCTCGGTCTCAAAATATGGCTACTTCTATCATTCAAATTTGTCTCATCTCAACCTACTTCCCCATCTCAACCAATCACAACCACTCCTCATTAAATTTCTTCAACTACTTTCTCATCTCAACCAACCACAACCATTTCCCACCTCAACCTTAATCCCTCCAAAAAAAGGCATAAGTAGCTATGTTTTGTGCCGGAGGGAGTAGGAGGTAGACAACAGTATGGATAATGTTGTAGTATGTCTAAATTGTACTTTTATGCTCTTCTTTTCCTAATTTGTACCATGTTGTATTAACTTCCATTTGACTGACCAGTAGAAATGACAGGTGCCTATGATTGGACTAGTGATGGGCGAAAAAGGTTTAATGTCAAGGGTGTTATCCCCCAAGTTTGGAGGATATCTAACCTTTGGGACTCTTGATGCTACAAAGATATCAGCACCTGGGCAGCCAACCGTCAAAGAACTGTTGGACATTTATAATATAAGGCGTATAGGACCTGATACAAAGGTTCTTGGTCTTATTGCCAACCCAGTAAAACAGAGCAAGAGCCCAATTTTGCACAATAAATGTCTTCAATCTATTGGATACAATGCTGTTTATCTTCCACTTTTGGCAGATGACCTTGCTCGATTTCTCAGCACATATTCATCTCCGGATTTTTCAGGATTCAGGTACTAATTTCAGAGGATAGAAAAAATTACATAGCTATTCTATTGGATTGCTTGGAATTTGAAACGTTTGGATGGACTAGATTTTTCTGAGTCATACACGAGGGATACTCCCAATCTGGATTCTTCTTTAGACACTTTACCTTATTCATACAAACGTCACCTAATGGTTGTTAGTTTTAATGGGAAAACCTAGCTATCTGTATTTTTCCTCTCAGTTCTTTGATCGCAAGGGAGGTGAATAGTTGCTTAGAACAGTCATCTATTGGCAGATAACCCACAGGTCACATGTTCAAATCCCAGAAATCAAAGTGAAAAATTCACACAAACAACCCACCCAATCCACAATTAGTAGGATCTGAGCTCTGGTCTTCAGCCAAAGAGACAAAGGTACAACACTGTTGGGATATGCAATATCTGACCCTCTGTATTGGTTTGTTACTGTGTTTTTTTTCTCACTTCTCTTTATATCCAAACTTTTACAGAGTACTTACTGTGCATAGCTCTGCACAATCTGGGAGAGAGCCCAAAATAGACATTTTAGTTTGGGGGTAAACAAGAGGCCAGTTGTCTGAAACTCTGAATGCAACAAATCATTTTCGTGGAAAGACTTTTGTTAGCATACTCCCCTCCTGGCATGAAAAATATCAATTTGGAATATACAGTGGTCTCTAAGATGCAACTCTGACGACTCGTTTCAATTTCAATATTTCTATTGTTTACAATAAAATTCTAATATAATGGAAGCACTTTTTTAGACAAATCTACAAATATGATTCCCATGTTCCAATATAATACATATTTAAATGTATATATGGATGTATTTATGTATATATAGAAATGCACAAAGCGTTACTCCCTCTGTCCCAAAATATAAGGACTTTTATAGTTGGACACGGATATTAAGGAGAAAATTAAAGTAAAGTGAGGGATGATTGTGATTAGTTGAGATGAGAAAGTAGGTGAAGAAATTAAATGAGATGGTGGTCGTGACTGGTTGAGGTGAGGAAGTCGGTGGAGAAATAGCTATATTTTGGGATGACATTTGAATGCTAAAGGTAGCTATATTTGGGATGGAGGGAGTAGAGATTTGACTTGATGCATATGCAAAATAACATGTTTTGTTTTCCCGACTGGAGGGGGTATTTCACAAGAACAAATCTGAGTTCATGCTATATGACTAAATGTAATGCAGTTGCTCTCTTCCTTTCAAAGTGGACGCTGTACAGTGTTGCCATGAACATGACCCAGTTGCTAAGGTACCTTGATGTGGTACACTTGATCTAATTGCTTCATTTAATTACCATTTTCAGATTTCTTTGACCTTTGATATTTTCTTCAATCTGCAGTCAATCGGTGCCATAAACACCATAATTAGGAGACCAGATGGCAAACTAGTGGGCTACAATACTGACTACATTGGAGCAATTTCTGCTATTGAGGATGGCATAGGAGGTTTTTATAATCGTAATTCTGGAGCAATTTTTTTACTCTTTTTTGGGAGTCATGGAAAAATATCTGATAAATTATGTTTCACAGGCCCAGGATCAAAGGATGCTGCCATCTCACCTTTGGCTGGCAGGCTTGTTGTTGTTGTAGGTGCTGGTGGAGCTGGTAAGGCAATTGCTTATGGGGCAAAGGAGAAGGGTGCAAGAGTTGTAGTAGCAAATCGTACCTACGGTAAGATTGTGTTTCTGAGCCAAATATTCTTTGTCTGTAATTATGCAATTTCTGTGCCTACCTAATTCTATCATCATGTGCAAATCATAAAGAATTCATTTTGTGATATAAAGTTCTGAACTATGCTCCTCACTCCCTCAGCCAATGATTAATGCATGCAATCTGGGAAGATATATTAACTCATTTTTATTATCCATGTTTTTATCAGTCATGTGGAGCCCACTAGGGCCAGATAGAAACACTGGTCAATGACTCTAGGCCAGCAGCATTGCACACGTGAACAGTACCCACGCGAAGGGTGAATGTCATGTGCAGCCCATTAAGGTCCAAAGCAGCAATAGGCCTGCCTAGGGTCTGCGGTACTGCAGGTCAACAGTAACTGCATCGTTGTTCACGATGGCTGTTTAGTCAGAGATTGGATTAGATTGACTAGTTAGCTATTTCCTATCTCTATCTAAAAGGGTGGTTACTGCTCAGGATGCTTTGCATTTCTTTCATTTTAGAACTTGTGTCCTGGTAGTAGCCTATACAACTATTCTATTTTCCACATCAACTCCCTCTTTATTGATCCTTAAGTTGACATCCTGTATATAAGCCTCAGGATATTTTCTTGTCAACTGTTTTCACGTTAAGATCAAATTTGTAAATTCAATCCATAACAGAAAAAAACACAAGAAAAATTCGTCTGATCAGGCATTCTTGGCATTAGACTTAGGACATTAACTTTCTCTAAGGTAGGAGTAGAACTCACTGGAATTTGGTCATTTGTTTCTTATTGTACATCCAATTTTGAGTAAAGTTGGAGTGGAATGATTAATGTCACTGGTTGAATAAGCATATTTACTACTGGATTCCCAGAGGCTTGTAGCACGCTAGCACTATTGTCTCCGACATAGTGGGTCTTTCAGTTATGGCCATAAGCATTCATGTTTTGTTACTCTGGCAAGTGATCTCAACCAAATGTATGCACAATATATATATTTTGCGGGGATGCAGAATATTGTCTAACTTTTGTGATCTTGTATTACTAACGCATGCATTTTTTATTATCCAAGATGGGTAATTACTCCATTTTGAAAAGATGGTGCCTATATTTTTCACAAAATTTCTCTCGAAATATAAAGCCTGCATGTGATTTTACTATGATATATCTTCTGTGTCCCTATTTGGCACATTTCTCCCTAACATTATCATTCTACTGCTAAATGTCATCTATGTCGAATAGATTGAACAATGCTCTCGCTAAGTACTCTCTTATTTTGATTTTTTTTCTTCTTGAATACGAATTTCGAATCAATTTAAGTATGGGTAGTATGCTCATTTTATCTTCTTTCTCTTTATTTCATACATTTCTTAGTATTCTCGTCCTAAATAAGCCCTGTATTTTGAAAACGGTAGAGTACCTTGTTTACTGAATATACTACACTTGCATTATCATTCTAGTACTAAATGTCAACTATGCTCGAATAGACTGCTACTGTTCATGGAACAGTCATGTCAAAGTGCATTGCATAAGCCACCCCAAAAATACTAGTATTTCTTTGTGTAGTTATTTGGACAACTCTTTCTGCACTTGCAATCAACAGTAGCAGTCTATGCTGATCACATCAACTATTCTTAAGTTAGCAAATAAAATATGTATATCTTTTTTGTAATTTTTGTTCCATCAATTCTTGTTTCAAACTGGATATGAGGCATCTGGTTATAAAGCTCAAAATTGATCGTATTTCAGTACATCATGTAATTGATAATTTTCTTGAGTTCTTCAGAAAAAGCAGTAAGTCTTGCTGCTGCAGTGGGTGGTCATGCCCTGAGATTAGCCGAGCTTGAAACTTTCAGGCCTGAAGAAGGGATGATCCTTGCTAATGCGACATCATTGGGAATGTACCCCAATGTGGACGGCACCCCTATCCCAAAGGTATCTTGCTCATGCATGCACCATGTTATATTCCAGAACAGCATACTTGGAAGCTCTATTACCACCTTTAGAATTAACCTCAGCATACTCTCTTGTTACATTTGAGATTATCTTGATATAGCTGTCTGCTCAGTGCTGCCTCAATATTTGTTATAAATTCCATTGTTTTCGCAGAAAGCATTAAGCTTCTATGATGTTGTATTTGATGCGGTATATGCCCCGAAAGTTACCCGGCTTCTACGAGAAGCAGAAGAATGTGGGATTAAAGTTGTCAGCGGTGTAGAGATGTTTGTCAGACAAGCCATGGGTCAGTTTGAGCATTTCACAGGTGGTATTGAAGGTATTGTGCTCTTTTAACTTATATATCATATACCTTATTATGTCGAATGTTTTTTGTGGACCTACTTAGCTAATACACCTTCATCTTTCTGATAATCTGCTTTTGCAGCTCCTGAAAGCCTGATGCGTGAGATAGCTGCCAAATACACATAACAGGTTCATTCTTCATCTTTTGCCTTTTCATTTCTATGCTTCTAGTCAAGTAGTCATGATGGGTTAGCATATTAGATTCTGTTAGCATATTACACCATGCCAAATCCACAAGGGCAAGATGTATATGTAATCCAACCCATAGAACTAATATAGTTTAGGACCCAAACTACATATAATGCTAATAATGATAGGCTACTAGTTACTTCCTCCGTCCCAAAATATAAGGGATTTTGGAGGGATGTGACACATCCTAGTACTACGAATCGGGACAAACTCTGTCCAGATTCATAGTACTAGAAAATATCACATCCCTCCAAAATCCCTTATATTATGGGACGGAGGGAGTATAGAATTTGGTTCTTTGATACGGTTTTTGATTTGAGAACCACCTCCTTGTAGGATTGGTTAGTCTATCATGGGATGATCTCATGAACTTTGGTGGGATGGCCCCATCCTATAATTTGTATTGCCTATGCATACGTGCTTATGAGGGGTGGATGGATTTTAGGTGGTGATGGACCAACAAGATCCCATTTCACAAACCAAACAATCTTGTTTGGTTCCAACATGCATTCATTTAGTGTGGTTTGATAGGCTTTCCCACCTTGTTGAGCTGTGGACACTATAAATCAGCGGTTTTGTTTATGTTAGCCACGTGGAAATGACTTGAGTTGTAATCAATGCCATGGAAACCATTCGTTTTCATTTACTAAGATATACTGATCATTACCATCGCTTATTAATGCTCATTGGATGCAACTTTTTTTTTGATATAACCATGTTTCTGTAGGCGAATGGCGAAGCGACGGTTGTGAGTAATTAGCCCAAATATTCCTCTGGGTTAAGTTAATAAAAGTTTTGGATGCCAGCCCAATTTTGTGCTAGGTGGAGATTAGTTGTTGTAATGTTCGATTTCGCCGACTTAACCTGTCAGAGATGTAAACAGAAAGTGTTCAATCTCATCATACTTGCAATAAAGAATTTGCATGCATAACTGCGCAGTTGCTTGATGATCATGATGAGTTTTAAGGAAACAATACACATCAAGCTATGATCAGGTGGTTTCATGTTCATCATTCGTAATGGAACCAATATCTGTGATTGGCAATGATACATCATTGTAATATTCAGCTGCTTATGCTCTACTCCTTTCCATTGTACTTCATGTCAGTCTGGAGAAGAAAGGTGTACGTGATTGCTGGACGTTTGACCTATGAATGTTCAAGTCCATTCAGAGAATTATTATATAAAGCTCTGGTTTATGCCTAAGTTTGCAGCTTAAAATGGAACTTTATCAGGCAAGGATGCTCTGTCTCAGGATCTGTACTCTATGAGTATGATCTTTTGATAACGTGGCAGTTTGAATCACTCGATGTTTTTCTCTTTTGGGTTGGGCAAGGATGTAACCTAAGATTTCTTAGTTGACTACGGTTGTTATCGGATCACTAAGCTTCTCTAATACTTCCTTCATTCCAAAATAAATTATTTTTTCACCTATCTCACACATCAACACAAAACTTAAAAGATAAGAATACTTTTACTTTATCAAATCTCAATATAGATATTCTTCACTTTATTTATTTTTAATATAATTATTTCTTATTTTCACAAACTCTGATACATTTACTTAAAAAATGAGTTTATTTTAGGATAAATGAGGAGTCAAAAATAAATTTATTATAAGATGGGGGGAGTAGGTTCTAGCTGGTTGAAAACTGTATCGATCAGTTGATTCCAAAGGATTAGACTGCCTCTATTAACCCTCTGGACGGTCTATGAAAACTGTAATGACCAGTTGATGCAACAAATCATGTGGTATTTGAGCTTTTATATGCTGGACTAGCAGCAGAAACTGACAAAAGTAGTTAAATGCTAAAAGTAACCGGTGGTGTTCGAAACTGGTGAGATGAAGATTAAGTAGATGCAAATAAAATAAGAAAGTTATTAGTACATGATTAATTAAATTAAATTATCATAAATTTGATAAATGGATATATTTGATATTTTAAAGCAACTTCTGTATAAAAAATTTTCGCACGGAAAACACCATTTAGTAGTTTGAAAAACGTGCTAATTGAAATTGGGGTAAAATCCGAATCTTAATAAGAAAAGAATATTGTTTAAATATAGATAAAATAATTGAAACCATCAATGATGACCAGTATTGCATACTGACGTAATCACATGCATTTATATTTTACATGAACCGTCGAGGTACCGGTTGTATTCACGTCGTGTTCATCGTCAGAACTCGCCGTTGTAGTTTCTCTCTCTATCGGGACCACGTCATTATCGGTCACGTTCTTGCTGTTATGATTTTCTTCGTTGCCAATATCCATCATCTATGGACGAGTCACATCGTGGGACACATCCTACCATCTTACTTACTATTATTGGTTCACCGAAGCACCAGCATCCATCTTCCCTCCTTTTTGTTTCTCGCTTTTGGCTAGGAAAGACGATGAACAATGCCTGTTGGGTGCTATTGCTTCTTTGTCCAACCTAACCATGCTCCTGAATCACTCACATAATATTGAAACCATAGTAATATGAATATAATAGGAAAATTCTAATTTATGTTAATGAAACGGGCACCCGTTCGGAATTAATGGATCAAATTTTCATCTATGAGTTAAAGTAAGCTTTTTCAATTTCTAGCTAATTTCATTTGTTTTTTCATTTACAATTTTAGTTTTAGCACTATTTGATCCACTAAAAATTATTTTTAACTTATAATTTTTCTCTGTATTGAATTATTTATAGCTAAATGAAAAAAGGGGATTTAGTTATATAATTGTTTTAATATTAAATTATCATTCCGACCAAACTTATTTGTGGTTTCATGTCGTTATTTTTTTATTATATTTCTTTCATCATTTATGCCGAATTATGATATATGATTTTAATTTATGTCAATGAAAGTTATCTAGAATCTATTACAATACACAAACGTTATGCTAGTACATATAAATATTATATGTACGTATATGCAATTTTGCTGTATATTTATCAACAAATTTTCTCCTAAAAATTTGACGGATGTAATTACAGTACAATCGTAATGTAACTAGTATGTAACTACAATGCAACTTGTATGTAACTTTTACATAATTTTGAACCGTTAGATTTGTTTCAAGATTTGTGCAACTAAAGAAGGAAAAATGTCATTGCGCGCATATATGCAAGAGGATTCGTTCCCACGACCTCTTCACCGAAATAGCATGTTACGAAGAAATTTTTGAAAGTGATATACAAGTTACATATAAGATACGGTGTAATTAGATCATGATTATACTATAATTATATTTGTCAAATTTTTAGAAAATTTGACGAACAATGCCCCACGACACGCGGTGTCCGCGTCATCTTCCGGAACGGCAAAAATATAGTCCTATCACTTTTCCGGCGGCAACCCCAATTTGGCAACTCCCGAGTCTCCGACACAATGCCAAATTGCTTAATTTCCCTTGCCCGGCCGGCTGCTCCCACACTCCCACACTCCCACCTCACCAACCCACGCCACCCTGCTACGCCCACCGCCACAGCCGCCACACCCAAACCCAACACACCTCCCGACCCGACCCGCCCCGCCCCCCACCTCACACTTCACCATCAGTACTCTGGCACTCTGCCACTGCCGATCTCGCTCGCGCGAGCATTCACGTCGTCGCTACCGAAGGAGGAGGAGGAGGAGATGACGCTCCTGTGCGTGCCGCTGGTGGCCCGCACGGTGGAGGCGATGCGGGCCGACGCGGCCGCGGCCGCTGCCGCCGGCGCCGACCTCGTCGAGATCCGGCTCGACTTCATCGGCAGCAAGTTCCGCCCGCGGGAGGATCTCCCGCGCCTGCTCCGCGGCTGCCCGCTCCCCGCCATCGTCACCTACAGGTCAGAACCCCGGCCCTCTCCCGCTCTTGCTACCCTACCGTACGTCGTGCTCTCTCAGGCAGCTACCGCGCACCGCGCGCTGGACTGGTTTGATACAGGATTTGCGTCCATTTAGCGCGTGTTCATATGCACAGCTTGCAAGTTGCAACGTTTCGAGTGTTTCAGCTTACCATGCATGATTATTCCTGCTTTGCTTTGCTTTTGGGGTTGTATACATTTTTCGGGATGGATTTTGGGCGCTCCCTGTTTTTTTCCCTTTTCTTTTGAATTTTTAGCACAGATTATTTACTCAATGCTTTTAAAAGTGTGATTTCTCTAATGCTTTTAATTAGTACTTATGCGGCTAGACTGCGTTCGTTTGAAACGATTGGGATCTTTTTCCTTTCCCACGTAAACCACATAAACCGGAACAGTGTATGATTAATTAGGTATTGGTTTAAAATATATTAATATGATTTTGTAAGCAACTTTTACGTAGAATTTTTTTAAGAAAATAACATTTACCACCTCGTAAAAAGTTTGCGTGGAAAATAAGAAAGTAGTAGTTAAAAAAAGTGAAGCGAAACATACCTGATGAACCCTGAGTTCATCTCGACACTCAAGGCTGTTGTTGGCCCGATCTTTCGGTGAGTTGTGATAACTACGATTTGGGAGAAACGTTGACGATCCGACTACAACTGTACAAAACCGTTGCGTTGCGCCTTAGCGATCGATACACCTCTCCGTGGGTTGTTGATCTTGCCGGTGCAGATCAACCTTATTCCTGCAAGCTATCGAGAACAAGCAAGAACAAGATATAAAGCAACTGAATTGCTAGATAGACAAGACGCACAAAGATAAATTGATACACGATAAAGTGGGGTTCCGAACAAGCAGACGGACGGTCTAGCCGACACGCGCGCTGCAAGCGAAGTAGCAATGGCTAAACTTACAATTAATCAAAACCCGCGAAACTCTGAAGGGGTACCTAACTATTTAAAGAGATAGGAGGACGACCAAGGGCACTCTAGGGTCGTGCTCCACCTGGTTGGGGCGCACCCCACTTGGGCCCCACTTGGGCCAGGGTCCCAAACGAAGTTACAAGCCCAAAGGCCCATGACAGGTGACGCAGCACCTTGTTTGTTCATCCGCGGATGACTAGGATGGAATTTGGCGATGAGGCTGGATCCATTGGAAAGAGGACTCCGTAGGCTTTCCATCAAGTACTCACGGGCCAAAAACGGAGGTCGTATGCAGATTCGGCGGCCGTTTGAAATCAACAGTGCAGCAGGTGGCCGAATCGGATTCCAGCACTTGGAGACCTTGATCTTGATGTCTTCTTGTTCACGCATTATGTGAGCAATGGTTGTATCCGTAGTAGCCATGGTCACATCAGTACCCGAGGAAGATCCAAGCTTTTTCTAACTATTTCTTTAGGCGGTGCAGAGAGGATACGACAAGAAAAATAAAACGGCAACTTGACTAAAGAGTGAACAATTTTATTCCTTAATGCTGGCCATATACATATTATAAGAGTCACGAGCTCCCTCAGGAATCAAACACTTTGTAGTTTGTACTCTAGTATTTCCTATACTCACTCCGTCACTCGTCAATACAATATAGGTTAATTCTTCATGAGACTTGATATAGTTTTTAGTACTGCGATTTGTTTCAACAAGATGAGTTTGCGCCAAGGTACGATGCCGTCGATGCGTACTAGATACATATAAAGATTTCGCCTGCTTTTCTACCACATCCAGAAGTTGAATTTAGAAGAGTTTGATTTTGAAGTCATTTTATGAAAACAATTTTTTAATATAGGCTTTCAAACCGCTAATAAAAATATTAAACCATATTTTTGTTTGCTTCTTTTCACGTACATGTCAGCTGTGGTTTTGAACAATCAAAGTCGTATGTACCCCTGCATTCTTAAAAAATCAATTCTAATTATAAACCTAGATATATGCGTGTCAGGTTTGTATATAGGGTTTTATCTTCTTTTAGAACAGACTAGTAGGCACAAATAATCTAAGCGAACAACTAGCATGTATTTTATTTACAGTACGTGACACTTCTGCTCTATCCGCTATTAGTAGTACTTTTTTTTTTAGAACTGGTATTAGTACTATTTCTACTTTTTTTTTTTCGCATTGCATGTTTCACATGTGCACAGGCAGTTGTGGCAGTCAGAGTGTGTTGGGACTTGGGAGAGTTGTACTGGGAGGGAGGCAGTGTCAAGTGAGGCTATGCGATCTGCGATACTATAAGCTTGTATATGTTCGGTTGTTCACTTTATCATCATTTTAACTTTGCTAAATTTTGATAGGGGTAATAATCTAAAACAAAATCTTAGCAATATCATTCTACCAAAAATTAGTATACTATAATAGTACGGACATGCTGTTGTTATCTCTGCCATGGGAGTACCTATACATCTTTCGAAAGATTTTTATAATCGTATCACACAGATTTTTAATCTTTGTATTAAAATCTGATAGATATAATAAAAAGCAAAAAGCAATTAAGAAACACCATAATGAACATTAAATTACCATATCCTCAAGAAAAAGACCAAATCAAATATAAAATTTAAAATTTACATGTGAAGATTCAAAAATTACAGTGTAACTTACAAAAGTTACAGTGTAAGTTTCATAAATTACACTATAACTTACAAGAAAATGCACTGTAAATTTGAGTGAGAAAATCGAGTGAGAGATAAGAAAAAATCTTTCGAGTGAGATATAGCAAAATCGCTCTGCCATTGCTTTTTAATTGCACGGTTAGTTTTTTCATGGCGTGTTTTGATTGCGGGGGCAGGAAGGCCCATATCAGGCCCAAATTCATTCAGTCTGGCGGTCATGAAGTTCTGAAGCTACGGGAATGGCGACGAACTAATCGTGAGATAGATAATTCTGCCGATTCCTGTCGCATATGCTTCCCGAAGAACAACGAGCACATGCTTTGTTGCGATCAAAGAGAAGAAATACTGCATATGCGTATGGTGCTATAGCTTCATGATCAAACTTGTATCTACGAGGCAACGGCGTTAAAAATTAAAAATCAAATGGGATAGTAGATAAGATATACAATTCGTGATACTCGAGGTAACAAGGCTAATTATTTATCTGGTCAAGATAGAGAGTTCTCCGGTTGGTCCATGCGCAGTAGAAAGAGAGAGCGAAGCAAACACTCAAACAGCAGCTACACTGCTACAGTGCTACAGCAGGCGGCAATAAGGGAAAAAACTGGAGGCGACACGTCCGAATCGGACGACCACGTCATCATGACGTCATCCTGCATACATAAGTGAACTTTAAACTATTTTTTTCTCTTAAATTATTTATCCAAATCATGATCCGATTGCACCATTAAATTTATTGCAATTAAATCTTTAAAACAAGACCACACATGAATATAATCCGATGAACTTTTTTAAGCTTATTATTGAATTATTTTTAATAAATGTTGCACGCTGTTGCACTAAGTATATGGAATTGTTTTACTAAGTAGATCGAAAATGTTTCATCGGACGCTGTTTCACCTTATATGAAAACAATGTTTCAGCGAATAGCGAAATGATGTTTCAATTCACTGCAACATTTGATTCATACATAGTGAAACAATAAGTAAATTACGTGAACTTTTTTGTGGAAAAAAATGAAATGGATTCCCTTAATAGAGGGTTTCTATAATATGTGGGTAATTTGTTACAAAAGAATTGTTTCAATTCACTGCAACATTTGATCCATACATAGTGAAACATTATGAGTACATTATAGAGGGTTTCCATAATATGTGGGTGATTTGTTGCAACGGCGTGTATGGTGGGGACACGTGGCGGGAGCAGCGCGGGGACATGTGGCGGGTAGGGCGCGCGCGCGGGAGGGCATGACGTGTGGCGCCCGATTTTACTCCCCACGTCGAGCGCCCGATTCTAGGCATTCCTAAAAAGAAATAATAAAAAAAAGGAGTACACTTATTCGGATTTGTAACATAACGATATCTAGGGATGAAAATGGGGCGGGTATATTCCAACCGCCCGCCCTACCCGAGGCTCACAGGAGGAATATGGGAGAAAAAATGGGATACCCAATACTATCCAAGTTCGAATCCGAATTCGTTAGAAAATATGGGTTAGGATACGGGAAAACATGTATCCGCCCGCATACCCCATATTATAAAATATATATGAAAATCTATTATAAATCCACTTACAAACATGATAAAAGATTGGTTAATCACTATTTTTTATGAGCTCACATGTAATATTGCATAATTTTTCTCTTGATGTATCTCTTTTAATACTTTAATTACCTTATTATGTTTAATATCTATGAATTAGAGATACAAATAGATATCCGTTTCCGAATCCGATTTGATGAAAATAATATGGGATAGAATACGAGATGAGTGATATATTATCCGTCACTAACCGTACCCGACTCCGAGTTTAAAGAAAAATATGGGTTAGGATATGGGAATGCCATAATCCGACCGTATCCGCCCGTTTTCACCCCTGTCGATATCCAATCTTAGATTGCTGTATTTTGAGACGAAGAAAGCAGCTCAGGTTCTCTTATCCTGTTTTGCCACCATGCTCACGCGGCAAAGAACTGGCACCAATCAATGAGAGGAGAGGAAGCAGACATATACTCCCTCCATTTATTTTTGGCTGCTCCTATTTATCTCAAAATAAGTTCTTTTTTAGATAAACATTACATCGGTATTTGTGAAAGTAGAGGCCAGATAAATGCATTGGGAGCAGATAAAGTGCAAATAATTGAATTAGAATTTGATAAAGTGGATGTATTCTAGTCTTTTCAGTTTTATGTTGATATGTGTGAGATTGGTGAAAAATGAACTTATTCTGAGAAAGTATTATGTAAGAAGTTGAAGCAAACTTATCAGTTTGACATCTTCGGCAGCCTAATCCATGGCATCTGCGCGAGGCGTCTCTACTTGGCCGGTGCAAAGTAATTTTCGTGTAGTTTTAACTTTAATGATAGCGCCATCTATGATTATAAAAAGTTTTATCTTAAAATATATTTCTACTCTTATAAAAATTGAAGAAGTTTTTATCGGTACTTTGGAACGTTTTCTGTGTATGAGTCGGTTTTTAAGTTCGTTCGCTTTTGAAAATAAAGGAGTCATATAAGAAGCCTCTTTAAAAACACTCGCATGCTAGCTTGAGACAATCGGACTCCTAAATACAGCTCATGATTTTTTTTAAAATATATATATATATATATATCTAAGCGAATTACTACAGTGAATTTCATCTCAACTAAACAATATAGCAATAATAAGATTAAAATAAACTTCACCCGTTGCAACACACGGGCATTTTTTCTAGTCTTGTATAAAGAGTAAAAAAAAGAGATGTTATTAAGAAGTAAAGTGCCATTTTCAATAGTTTGGAGGATAAAAAATATTTCAGAGATTAAGTGATCTAGCTATTGGATTAGTTTGGGTAGTAAAATGGATTTTGTTTTTTCTTTTCTAAGCTCCCATATAAGCACCTAGCATTGGAGATGGCCTAAGCGCACACTGCTACCCTTAACAGCTATAATTATTTTGGCAATTAACAATTACTTAATTCCCTATTTCATATTGTAGATGCTGATCATAGTAACAGTATTACCAATGGCAGTGAAACCATTTCTTTTTGTCAAGACTTGTGTCATAACAACATATCAGGATAAATAGGGCAAATGTAGCAATGACATGGCTAATAGTTGGTAACAACATGTTATTGCACCAGTTGCTTATCCCAGAGCGTGTTACTCTACCTATATACAAGCTAATCCCTCCTTCGAAAAATCTGAGATCTATTTCTTTTTCATCAATACCAATAAGCAATTAACTCACTCACCATGTGGCAAAACAAATAAACATGCAATTGATCAACAATTTAATTTAGCACATAGTAACTATAAATAGGACTTAGATTTTTAGAAAAACTAAAGAATGAAATAGGTCTCAGATTTTTGGAAAGAGGAAGCACTATGTTACTGCATGAGCATGGCATAGTTACTACAATAGTATAGGACCATATTACTGCACATTCTCTACGCACTCAGTGAAAGTAGGCACGAGGTTATTGAGAAATCCAGCATGCATGCTCTTTAAGACATGATAGAATAGGCAATAATCTATACCTAGCTATCTTTTACAATTGCTAATTCCACAAGTTTTGCCACATTGGCCTGCTACATGGCTTTGTGATCTGAAATAAACGAGCAAATTGATGTGAGATCCACTAGAGAGGAGATAAGAAAAACATAATTCTCTCTATTAAAATATAGAGAACAACTTGGAGAAAATTTAGTTCTCTGTTTTTCTGGGGGATTATGGAGCTGTTGTGAATTTGTGATAACACATTCTTAAATTTTGTGGGACATTAAAACTAGCAAAAGTTGTAAGCTTATATTTGTTCCTGAATATATAGCTTAATCTATATTGTTTGACTAAGTTTGAATATTTATTAATATGTGAATAAATTGTTCAAGATTTCAAGTAGAACCACAAATTTTGAAAAGTGCCCAGCTAAGAACCTAAACCCAATTTATTTGTTCGTCCTTTTCCGATTGAGACAAGGTGAAATCATTTGTCGTTTTTGACAAGGTTGGTGCTTGCTAAACTAGTTGAGAGGACTTGCGTTCATCATTACCCTTGACAAGTGGCATAAGATCGTTCATCATTACCCTTGACACTCTAGAAATTGATATTATGCTGGGATTTAAAAAAAAAAGGTCCACGTAAACAGAATGACCAGACTTATTTGATTCTCTCTTCTTTATATTTATCTTTTCAATTTCTGTGCTTTAATTGATTTACTATGCAATGCAGGTACATTTGTTTTACTTCACAATGTTGCTCCCCACTTTGTAGTTGTTGGTTATATTTATATAACTACTGCATATTAGATTCACCGTTATGCTTTGCATAAATGACATTTGTATGTGCATATTTCTTTTGCAGACCCAATTGGGAAGGAGGCCAATATGAAGGTGATGATGCTACAAGATTTGAAGCACTCCGTTTAGCAATGGAGCTAGGAGTAAATTATGTCGATATTGAATTGAAGGTTTGTTACCTCAAATAAGTTAAACTGTTACGCTGTTCCCAGTTAATATGTAATATTGTAAGCATCCTTAGATTTCAAATTGATTAGTGCCCACTATTTTTCAAAATGCATAACACATTGTATTAAAAACGATTCTGAAAAATGCCTTCTTTTCATGGTTAAACCCCACCACTACTTTTTCCTTTTATTTGTGGAACACAAGTGCATCCACATTGCCTCCATTTTTCATTCTACCACAATATGACTAATTTGAGCATGAAAATGTGGCCTGTACATAACTTTGAAAATGAGTTTTGAGTAAATTTGGAATATCATGTTGTAGCTTCATAGCTGGAGGTACAAATATGACACTCATTCATGCATTATGGATGGTGCAATTTTAATATTTTTATGTATTTTAATATTCAGTTCTATTGCTCATGACAAGATAGATCATTCCTCTTAAGTTCAAATTGAATCCATTTGTCAATCATACTATTTTATTCTTTAGAGTCTAGCTGCCATTTGGCCATCGCATTAGGAAGGTTAACTAAAATATAACACTGAAGGGGGAAATCTATTTTAAAAACGTCCAATGAATACTCAATACATCGTTCTTATGCTCATGTGGTTTCTTTTAAGATGCTCTGGAATGAAATTGTAAAAAGTTCCTTTTGTAATTACTTAATAAACTTGAAGTCAAAAAATTCATGTTTTCCATTTGTTCCTTTAGGGAACACACCAAATATATTTTTTTTTGCATCTTTATGTTAAGTAAGGAGAGCAAACAAACAATAAAAAATTTGGAAAAAAAAGTAACATGTAACTGTTCAAGACAAAAATGCCAACCTAAAAAAAGAAAAAAAAACACAAGGTAGCTCTAGCCAATAGTTTTTCGGGACGATTCTTCAGTTTTTATTCTTGTATCTCTTATCTCATACTCTATATGTTTCATATTATAAGATGTTTTAACTTTTTCCTAAGTCAAACCTTTTTAAGTTTATAGAGAAATATTGCAACATTTATAACAAAATATTAACACTATCAAATATATTCATTGTTAGATTTAATGAAACTAATTTGGTGTTGTAAATATTGCTAATTTTTCAATAAGCTTGATCAAACTTAAATATGTTTGACTCGGAAAAAAAGATCAAAACTCTTATAATATGAAACAGAAGGAGTATATGTTTTGGAACACAATGCAAACCTAGTTTTAAGCAATTTAAAAAGCCAAATGCTTTAATATAATTTAATTTTCACCAATCATCTAGCCATGTAGGCTCTATGCCTCATTTATCTAAGTACATGATTAGGACTGTATGGGGGCACATTTGTATCTTCATTAGCCACTAGGCATTTACATACATAACGGCATGCATACTATATGTACTAACCAAGTTTATTTTTCTTGTAGGTTGCTGACAAATTTATCAGCTTTATTTATGGGAGTAAGCCAGAGAAGTGCAAACTTATTGTCTCGGCACATAATTATGAAAGTACTCCATCCTGTGAGGAGCTTGCAGATCTTGTGGCTAGAATACAAGCAGTTGGAGCTGATATAGTGAAAATCGCAACAACAGCTAATGACATTGTTGATGTGTCACAGATGTTCCAAGTGATGGTGCACTGCCAAGTAAGTGTCATTTTATAAAATCCAAGAAATGCTTTCACTTTTCTACATGGAAACTTGCATGTCACCTATCTTGTATAGTTGTCCCAGTACATCTTGCCTCTAGCCCACTACTACTGCATGCCCCCTTTAGATTCTTTTTTTTTTAAAAAAATAAAGGAAGCTATTCAGATCCATGATGTTTTTGAATTATTGCACATGTCAAAACTTTGTGTAATGGTCCCTAAGGCCTGTAAACATCACTCGGCATGGGGGATTTTCTATGGTTTGGAAGTATTTTTTAAGTGAAAAACATTAGGATTTGTAATTTAATTTTAGCATGTTGGCTTTCAGAAAATTGTATTTCACAAATTGTACTTCAGCTAAGCTACATGAGAACTACACCAATCTAACCCTATTTTTTTTATAAATAGGTCCTTTCAAAAACTTATTTCAAAGCTAGACCGTGCAAAAAAACTTACCAAAAATAGACCGTCGGCTCAACGCCAACCGCCTTTGCGCTGAGGTTACACTGATCAGCGCCGACTCCCTTGCCAATGTGGCAGCCGAGCCAATCCCCTCGTCTACATGGCAGGGGCTCAACACCAACCGCATTGGCGCTAAGCTACTAATCTCAGTGCCAATTTCTGGTGCTGAGCTTTGGGACTTAGCTGCTCGCAGTTGGGCCACCCAACACAACTCATATGTTGGGCGGCCCAGAGGCGCTGAGCCGTCAAATCTCAGTGCCAACGTAATTGGCAATGACCCTAAAGATCTCAGTGCCAACTAATTCGGCGCTAAGTTTTGTGACTTAGTCGCTCACCACAGGCCCGCTCAACACAGCTCCTGTGTTGGGCTCTGCCCTGATGCGAGGGTTCAACGCCAATACCCGAGGCAAGCCATGGTGTACTTGATAGATGCATTGGACTCCTTCACATGAAACATGGATGCACCCGGATAGAGTAGCTCTGCAGCCATATTTTCAAGTCTTCCATAGATTGAAATTCCAACCCCGTTCTCGATTCCTCCCCTATGGCATCGATGGTTCCATCTTATTGTGGATCCCCATCGGCAACTGCGAGCCCATCATTGCTAAGATCCTTGAATTGAGTGATTTCCGGATTGCGACCAACGATTTTCTCAAACACTCTCCTCTCTTCCTCTGACATCTTGCCCATTGGACGATCGTCATTGGAGTTAGAAGCATACTCATCCACATCATCATCTGAATGCACATTCAACAAATCCATGTTCAATCCATTAAATACCATAGCCTCCTCACACTCCTGTCGGGTGTAAATTTTTCTTCAAAGCAATTCTCTGATGTATGAAGCCATCTGCCTATCATCAAGTTCAACTTTCATCTCATTCTCAACTTGATTCACATCTAGGCCAACATCTGACAAATCCTCCCCTACCTCCACTTCATCCTCAACGGGTACTTCCCCCTACCTCCATATCCTCCTCAACCTGTACTTCCTGCCCTACCTCCACATCTTCCACAATTAATTATTCCTTCCGATCCGCGACAAACATATCGTTCTTCGGTTCATGACAGTACAGGGGGATTCTATGCGCGAACTTTAATTGAGGTCTAAAAATTCATTCTCCGATTTGCTGCGCTCTTTCTTCCAAGCAAACATCTCAAGCGATTTGAATTGTGACCCTAGTACTATATCTACATATGTTTCCCATTCCACCTCTCTATTCAAGTCTAACATAAAATTATGTGATATGGGACCTGCGCCCACATTGTATCTTCCTTTCATACCAACCGACTCATCACTCCAATCCAATTCATCTTTCGTGCGGGACTTTAACTCTTCAAATGTGGATTTGGCATGAAACACTAACTATCTAACAGTCTCCCCCGCAAATTGGCTTCCACCAGTACTTTCATCTACCACACAGCTACCAATCTATTCATCTACAATGTGTAATCAATAAATAAAAATAAAGTATTTCAGAATAGCTGATAAATGCCACGCCAATCCCAAAACTATCAAACCTAAGAACGTTCAAATGTTTCAAAAAAAAACCCTAACAACGTATACTAATCTATCCATCCAATATGTAACCGATAAATAAAAATAAAGTATTTCAAAATAACTGATTAATGCCACGCCAATCCCAAAACTAACAAACCTAAGAACGTTCAAATGTTTTAAATAAAATCTAACAACGTACAAATTATAAATTACCACTAACCCCACCACTAAGTCCTAATGTTTTAAAAAACACATGAATCATAGTACAACTTAACTTTCAAACTCCTACAAATTGCCTAAAACAAATCATTTATCTCGGGTTACAACCACACATCTAACCCTAGCCATCATCACACATTCAAAATATAGGTTCAGAAATTTACAAATCAACATTAATCAACCGAAGCAACATCAATATGGAACTTCCACACTAATCACGACCCAGACAACCCAACTAACAATAGATCACGAGCCACATTCCTCAAATCATGGTTAGAACCAAAACAACCAAAATACATAATAAAATGTTCAAGAAATTAGGGTTTTCGAGGGAGTTTATCTTTAAACTCGACCCCACACTCAATCCTTACGAAATCCCATTTGATTTTGTGTGGATTTGGAGAGATTTGGGGAAGGGAGGAGAGAGAACTTGGCGTCGTCACACGAGCACTAGGGGAGAGGAAAGGAGAGGAGAGGAAGAAGAGATGTTGGGTTGTTGCGGCCTCGTGTCGCCCTTAGTAACCTAGCTCAACGCCAACACGGCCGGCGCTGAGGTTAGACGGTTCAGCCCCAAGGCGGTTGGCACTGAGACCCTGCCACGTAGACGAGGGGATTGCCTCGACTGTCATGTTGGCAGGGGGTTCAGCACCAACAGCCCTGGCACGAGCCGTCTAGCCTTAGCGCCAAGACAGTTGGTGCTGAGCCAACGGCCTATTTTTTGTTGAAGTTTTTTGCACGGTCTAATTTCAAAATAACTTTTCGAAAAACCAATTGGTTAGAAAAAATGGAATTGAACCTGTTAAACGAAAGAAAAAAATATATAACCCCTTTTGTTCTCATGTTCTTTCCATATTCGAGTCTCCGTAATCCCTATTTTCCTAGTGAAAGCAACTAAAACAATGTGAATTTACGATGGGACTAGTTCAGCCTTATTAAACCTTTATGTGTTGAGGAGATTCTTAAGAAGAAAAAAACACTAAGCTCATGGAAAAGTTGTGCTCTTTTCTTAGCTTATTCATTCTTGTTGTATTTCATCAAGTTTGGTGTTATTATATTAGGAGGTATGCAATAGTATGTGGGATAATGTCGTAATATGTCTGACTTGTACTTTTATGTTATTTTTCCTCTAATCCATACCATTTTGTATTAACTTCCATTTGACTGACCAGTAGAAATGGAAATGACAGGTGCCTATGATTGGACTAGTTATGGGCGAAAAAGGTTTAATGTCAAGGGTGTTATCCCCCAAGTTTGGGGGATATCTAACCTTTGGGAGTCTTGATGCTACAAAGGTATCAGCACCTGGGCAGCCAACCGTCGAAGAGCTGATAGACATTTATGATATAAGGCGCATAGGACCTGATACAAAGGTTCTCGGTGTTATAGCCAACCCAGTAAAACAGAGCAAGAGCCCAGTTTTGCACAATACATGTCTTCAATCTGTTGGATACAATGCTGTTTATCTTCCACTTTTGGCAGACAACATTGCTAGATTTCTTAGCACATATTCGTCTCCGGATTTTTCAGGATTCAGGTACTAATTTCAAAAAGTAGAAATAATTACTTTACTATTTCTTGGAATTGGATGGACTAATTTTTTCTAGGAGTTGGATATACTAGATTTAAGTGGTATTGACTCTCAAGGGACCACATGAATAAGGATTGTTGTAATTTTTTGATAAATCATACATGAGGGATCCCCCAATCTGATGTCTTCCTTAGACAAACCTCATTCGTACAAACCTCACCTAATGAATCCCTTGTTAGTTTTCATGGGAAAAATTCAGCTATATATATTTTTCCTGGCAGCTCTTTGACTGGGTATGAATAATTGGTTTGTACAGTCATATCATCACTGACTGTCCACATGTGACATACTCAAATTGTGGAAATCACAGCGAAAAATCCACACAAAAAACCCACCCAACCCGCAGTTAGAGCATCACCAAGAGACTCTCCATCCAACTCTCTAAGCTAAATTTTAGCCAACATAGCAAAAAATAGTACTGAACATGTGAAACGGCCACTCCCCCTCCCTTGTCTAGGTCTGTTACTGTGATTCTTTTACATTTCCCTTGATATTCTAACATTTACAGAGTACTTACTGAACATAGCTTTGCACATATTTTTACAAATATATGGAAACAACTCCTTAAAAATGAACTGAGCCTACATCTGATTATGCTTAGGGAAGATGACAGACCCTTGTTTGAATCATGGATAATTACTTGTAATCTAGGTCCCTCTGCGATGTTTTTAATTTATTTCCCTTTTGTAAATAACTCTTTTATATAATTGAAATAAACCATAGGGGCTTTTCCACTGTTTGATGGTAAAAAATTTTTTAAATAAGTTTTGCACATTCTGGGAGAGAGCTCAGAATAGATATTTTAGTTTGACGGTAAACAAGAATCCAGTTTGCTGAAAGTAACCAGACTTTTGGTAATTCAGATGCACAAAGTCATTTTTGTGGAAAGCCTTCTGTTAGTATATAGTTCCTCTGGGTATGGAAGATGAAACATTGACCACTCTTTTCTATTTTAATATGTCTGTTGATTCCAATAGAGTTATGATGTAATGAAAGCACTGTTCAAGACACATCTAGAAATCTGATTTTCATATAAATATTCAAATATACATCGATGTATTTAATTATACGACGATTCTAGTTTTAGTTATTTGACTTGATGTATGTTCAAACTACTACTTTTGACAACTGGAGGGGGTATTTCACAAGAACAAATTTGAGCGGTATATGACTTTATGTAATGCAGTTGTTCTCTTCCTTTTAAAGTTGATGCCGTACAGTGTTGTCATGAACATGATCCAGTTGCTAAGGTACCTTGATGTGTGGTACACTTTCTCTAATTGCTTACTTGATTTAATTAATTACTTACCTTTTTAGACTTATTTAACCTGACATTTCTTCAATCTGCAGTCAATAGGTGCCATAAGCACTATAATTAGGAGGCCAGATGGCAAACTACTGGGCTACAATAATGACTACATTGGAGCAATTTGTGCCATTGAGGATGGCATAGGAGGTTTTTTATAATCTTAATCCTGAAACAATCGTTCAACTGTTTTTTCGGAGTCATGGGAAAAAAGTAGCTGATAATTTACATTTCACAGGTCCAGGATCAAAGAATGCTGCCGTCACACCTTTGGCTGGCAGGCTTCTTGTTGTTGTAGGTGCTGGTGGAGCTGGCAAGGCAATTGCTTACGGGGCAAAGGAGAAGGGTGCAAGAATTGTAGTAGCAAATCGTACCTACGGTAAGGTTTTTTTTGTATTTGTTTCTGAGACAAAATGTTCTATGTTGGCTGCAGTTATTCAATTATTCATATGCAAAGCATAATTCATTTTATTAGTGTAAAGTATTGGAAGTTCTGTACTCATTATGCCGCTCAGACAATGATCAATGCTGAAATATGGGAAGATATATTGCATCCATTTATATCCATGTTTGTATCATTGTCATGGGTGATTTTTGTTCCATCAATTCTTGTTTCGCACTAGTTATAAAGCTCAAAGCTGATCATATTTGAGTACGTACATCATTTAATATGATAATTTTCTTGTGTTCTTCAGAAAAAGCAGTAAGTCTTGCTGCCGCGGTTGGTGGTCATGCCCTGAGATTAGCCGAGCTTGAAACTTTCAGGCCTGAAGAAGGGATGATCCTTGCTAATGCAACATCGTTGGGAATGTACCCCAATGTGGATGGCACCCCTATTCCAAAGGTCTCTTTCTTACACGCACGCCATGTTAATATTCTGTAAGACGGAATATACTCAACACAATAATCTATTGCCAGATAGCGGGAGTACATATATAGGTTAGGCCTTCTATATCTCTACCAACTTATAAAATTAGAATCGGGAGTACAGAAGGAATCCGAACCTAATTACAGGAAGTAGCAATAACAAACTCTTAACATATATATTCCAGCTATAAACTGGTGGAACCCTCCCTTCTACTCTGTTACCATCTTTAATTTCAATTAATCTTGGCATGCTCTCTAATTAGCACATTTGATACTACCTTGATATACCTGTCCGCTCATTGCGGCCACAATATTTTCCATTTGTATGTGCAGCAAGCACTAAGCTTCTACGATGTTGTGTTCGATGCGGTATATGCTCCGAAAGTCACCCGGCTTCTACGAGAAGCAGAAGAATGTGGGGTTAAAGTTGTCAGCGGTGTGGAGATGTTTCTCAGACAAGCCTTGGGTCAGTTCGAGCGTTTCACAAATGGTATTGAAGGTATTGTGTCCTTCTAACTTATATCATACACTTTGTTATGCCAAATGCTATCACCCATTCCTCTTTCTGATAATCTACTTTCTACAGCTCCTGAAAGCCTGATGCGTGAGGTATTAGCAAAACACACATAACAGGTTCGTTCTTCAGCTTTTGCCTTTTCATTTCTATTCTTCTAGTCGTAGTGATGATGGTTTAGTATATTTATTAGATTCTGTTGTATCATTTGCATTGAAGACGTTCTCTAACACCATGCCAAAACCACAAGGGCAAGATGTTTTTGTAAACCAACTAACCAACCGATAGAATTAATATAGTTTAAACGCCAAACTATATATAATGCCAATAATGTTTAACTATTGGTTGTAGGATTTGATTCTTAGTGTGGTTTTTTTATTTGAGAACCTCCTTGTAGGATTAATTGGTTGGTCTATCATGGATCACGCCATGAACTTTGGCGGGATGGTCCTGTCCCTTAATTTGTATTGCCTCCGGTTTCTAATAGTTGACAACATTGATTTTTTTTACGCTTGTTTAACAATTTGTCTTATTAAAAAATTACATAATTATTATCTATTTTGTTGTAACTTGGTCATTAAAGGTATTTAAGCATGACTTGCATTTTCATAATTTTGCAAAAAGAAATTAAATAAGATGAGTGACCAAACGTATGTGAAAAATTCAATGTCGTCGAGAAATTATTGCCTATGCCTACGTGGAGGGATTTAGGTGGTGATGGAGCAAAAAGATTCCATTTCACAAACCAAACATTCAATTAGTTTACTGTGGTTATGGTGATCTTTCTTACCTAGTTGAATTGTGGTCACTTAGAGCACCCGCAATGGTAAAGTAAGGTGCTCTCTATAAAACATGTACATCTCAGCAATAGATTAGATTAATAGTAAACCGCTTCAATAGTGTGTCTACATGGGTATCTATAGCTCTCTAATATATTGCCTCGTTTTTCTCTATAGACTATCTCCAAGTTAGTAGATAGCTTTGCTCTCTCTCTTCATTTAGTCTCTTCCATATAGTAAAATATGCTGACATGAATATCTTGTAGAGAGCATATAGATAACCATTGTGGGTGCCCTTATATATCTGCAGTTTGTTTAGGTTGGCCATGTGGAAATGACTTGAGTTGTAAATAAATTCTGTGGAGACCATTTCCTTTTATTTATTTATTTACTAAGGTAGTACCTTAGCCTATTATATTAGCGCTCATTGGAATCAACTTGTTTTGATATAAGTGTTTGTGTAGGGCTGTAGGCGAATGGGGAAGCGGGAACGGTTGTGAGTAATTATAGCCCAAGTATTCCTCTGGGTTAAGTTAACAAAAGTTTTGGATGCCAGTTTTGTCCTCGGTTGGAGATTCTTTGTTGTAACGTTAATTTCTCCGACTTGTCGCCTGTCAGAGATGTAAACAGAAAATGCTAAGTGTTCAATCTCATCGTACTTGCAATAAATTAAGAACTTGCATCCATGACTATGCAGTTTGCATGATGATCATGATGGGCTTCAAAGAAACTAATAAAGCATCAAGCTATACGATCAGATGGTTCCATGTTCATCACGTAAGATTACACCTGTCGACTTGCTTGCTACTAAAATATATAATACTAGCAAAAGTGCCCGTATGTTGCAACGGGAAGAAAAAAGAGAAAATTGAATTCAAACATATTAAATTCTAATTAATTGAAATATAAATTTTTTGGAATATTTGGGTATTTTTAAGTAGGTAGGTATATAATTAAATTAATTTATAAGTAAACTAAGTGTGAGAAATAAAATGATATGGTTGCATTTATTTTTTATTAAATTCTCCATATTAATTACACTCTTTGAAATTTTCTTGAAATTTACAGAGCTTAATTGTTAATTTTGATAATACAAACTAAACATCATTTTAGCATTTATTTAAATAAAAAACATTCTTTCTCTATGGGCCATTTTTAGCCCATTTTCTTCTTCAGCCCGCAACCGAGCCGTCCCACTTTTCTCAGGCCGCAAGGTATTAAAGTCTAACTAACATCTCCATACTCCTCTCAGTTCCACGTTTGTGATGGACTGTCGGCCCGCATGCGGCTCAAGTGTCACCGTGTGGTGATGGAGGCCTGCCCAACACTCGATCGATCTGAGCCGTTCGTTTCGATGGACAACAACCCCAGTGCAACCCTAACCCTAGAATCATTCTCCCCCCACCCTTCCCCACCACACCATCGGCCGCCTCCTCCCGCCCGACGCCGCCTTCCCCCGCCCGACGCAGCCTCCCCCCACCGGCGCCGCATCTCCCCCTCCTCTCACCCCTCTGGCGGCGCCACTTCCTCTCCACTCTCCCTCCGGTGGTGCTGCTCCCTCTCCCCCTTTCCCTCCTGTCTCACCGGCATGGCGCGGCGACGGCGGGGTACGGTGGAGATGGCAGCGACGGCCGTCCCTCCCCCTCTCCTTCTCCCCATCGGCCTCGATGGCCGTCCCTCCCTCTCAGCCTCAAGATCCGGCGGCGTCCTCCCAACGGCGGTGGCTTCCCGCGGCCGGATCCGATACCGGCGGCTTCCTGCGGTGGATCCAGCGATGACGTAGACATCACCGATCCGGCTTCACCGATGGCGCCGACAGCTTCCCGTGGATGGATTTACCGCGTCACATGTAATCGGATTCGATTTTATTTTTCGCCCCATTTTTTCGCCCGAGTTTGTTTCTTTTTTTGAATCGGACAGATTTAATTTTTTTTCGTCTTTTTTTCGCGGATGGAGGTGGCCATTGCAGGCGGCGGCGTGGAGGCGACACTCACCTCCCCTTCCTCCCTCCACGCTCCTGGATATGGCCGGAGGAGGGGAGCGATGGTGGGGGCGGCCACTGCAGGTGATGGAGGTGGAGCTCCTCCCTCCCTCCCTAGCTTCCAGTGTTGGATAGTATAGAAGAGACCGAAGCTTGGCATAGTACACTTGCTCGAAGACGATTCATCCCATGAAGACGTGTCGCAGATGGGCGCTTGATTGGGTGATCAGGCCAACCACGCACAGTACGACACTGGAGTGAGAGATGCCGCGTAGACCGTAGTCGATCACGGCATTGTCGAGGAAATCGTTGTAGCCGAGCTCTTGAACGGTGATTAAGTCAAAGTTGCGCGGGGCTAGACGACGAAGACGGAGCAGAATTAATGCTGATGTCGGGGACACGAAGAGTCGACGACGCAAACCCGTTCATTGAAGGGAAAAAAAAAACAAAAAGGTACAGCAAGCGCAGCACAGTAACCAGCCCATAGTGCTCCATGGTCTATAGACCAAGTCCATGTCCTGTCGAAACCCAGTCAGCCGACCCCATATGGCCATATCAGCCTTAGGGCATCTCCAATGTTTATGATCATGAGTAGCATTAAGGTGTGTCTCACTATTTTTATGGTTATTACCACAATGTTTGAAGCAAGAGTAAACTTTAAGATGGGTCCCACAATGTACTATTCTAGTACTTCTTTTATCAGCCATGCAAATTTTTCATCATCACATTCATTTTACCCTATTATTTTATTGCTTGTGGTCAAGCCATAAGCTTAAAGCTTTCTTTTGCATTTAATGCCTTATGGCTTTGTTTCACAATGTATATGGTCACTATAAAATCTTATGGCCTCTTCTTATGGCCACATTGTGGCTGCCCTTATCCTCCCACGACCTACTCCATGTCTCCATCCATGTGTGAACACTGAACACCGTGGCTGCTGGCGGCTTGGCGCAGCACGTCAGCAACGGCGGGAGGCGGTGGAGGCCATGGGCGCTCGTCGTCGTGGAGCCGTTCTTCAGATCCGGACAGGGGCGGCTGAGGCGTGTGGAGAGGCAGTTGTTCCCCAGCGGCGACGTGGGAGAGACGGCCGGCGGGGAGGTCGTCGAGGCGGGATCTGGCTGGAGGAGGGAGCCACGGTGGCGGAGGCGGCGCTCCCTCCCCTCCCTCCCAGATCTGGCCGGAGGGGGGAGGGCGGCGGCAGCGGTGGTCCCAGCGATGGCGGCGCGCGTTGTCTACTGTTGCTCGGGCGCACGCGCTGCGTCAAGCTCGTGCCGCCACCACATCGCGTCTGTCAGTCCAAGGTGCATCTCGCCTCATGTTCATGCCGGTACCGGAGTTCTCATGTTTCATGTTGCAATGCAATTTTATTGGGGTGGATTGGAGTTCTCTCATGGATCCCTCTGCTGATTTTATTTGGGTGGATTAGAGTCCAATTTGACAATTCAAAGTTCTCTTTATCATATTCGCGTACGAATTGGAAATTTGGAAACGGGCTAGCTGCCGAACGACTTGGTTTTTTTTTTTTGGAACAGACGGTATATGCGATTTTTTTTTTAATTTAGGCCTATGGGCTTAATCTCAAACTGGAGTAGGAATCGGTGTGGGTTTCTTTTTTGCGTGACAATTGGGCGCGCTTTTTTTATGCGATCTAACCAAATCTGATCCGAAACAAATTTTTTTGCTATATATTTGTTGACAAATTTTATCCCAAAAAATTGACAGATGTAATTACAGTACAATCGTAGTTTAATTACACTGTAACTTGCATGTAATTACACTGCAGTTATCGTAGTGTTATTACACTGTAACTTGCATGTAATTACGCTGCAGTTATCGTAGTGTTATTACACTGTAACTTGCATGTAATTACACTGTAACTACAGTGTAACTTGTATGTAACTTTCAAAAATCTTTCTGTAATATTTTATTTCGGTAAAATGGAGGCTGTGGGAACAAATCCTTACACATATGTGTGTGCTGTGATTTTTTATTTAACGATTCAAAATTACGTGAAACTTATATACAAGTTATACGGTAGTTACATGCAAGTTACAGCGTAATTACATATAAGTTACACTGTAATTACATATAAGTTACAGTATAATTACACTACGATTGTACTATAATTACACCTATCAAATTTTTAGAAGAAAATTTGTCGACAAATGTATAGGTGGTCCCGATCCGAAATCGGATGCGGTGGAAAAAATAGCGCCAGATTAGAAATCGGAAAAACGCGGTGATGGACGAAAAAATGCGGATCAGAGGATGAGACGATTGGAAAAATAGCAATATTTATATTAGTTAAGATATGACTAGAAAATGGGCGTGCTTGTGATTTTTAGCCCGTAGGTATTGCTAAGTGCTAGTATTTCAAGATTTATAGTGTCATATTATTTTAGGAATTAGTTTAGTTATATATTGGGTTAAACCTATCCAAGTGTTGAGCATGGCCAAAAACTTCTAAGGTCCTTGATGTAAAATCTATCATTAAATTGTAGTTCTACTATTAGGCGCGCTCCTAATATTACAAGCGCCAAACATGCATCAGCTCAGGCCCACCCCACCCCATGTCCCAGCCCAGGCCCACCCCACCCCATGTCCCGTTATCCCACTCCCACCATTGTCGGAGTAAACGATTGTCGGTGACATGGGGCCGGGGGTATCGTGACTAGAGGCTTGGGTAGCCGCGATCACTCACGTGGCCCGACCCCCTCGGGGGGGGGGGGGGGGTCGGGCCCGACGGTGACGTGGCCACCTCTCCCTCTGTCTCCCCGAGGGGTCGGGCCGGTCCCGTTTCGGCCCCGAGGGCTGGGGCACCCCGACCCCCTGTGGTGATTGGCGCCACGTGTGTGGGTTAGGTGAGCACAGCGGCGCTCACCTAACCGCATTTATAGCGGGTTAGACGAGCGCGTCACGCCGCATTCAATGCGGCGCAGCGCATGCTTATCCGGTCTGTGACCAGTCGCGGTATGTGACCGGTCACAGACCGGTCAGATCGCGGGTTAGGTGGCAACAGGCGGCCTGTCGCACGCCTCGCCCCGTCCCGTCGGAATGATGAGAGCTTCCTGGTTCTCGTCTCTAGCCGGAGCTGGCGTGCTGACTCCTGGAGTTGGTATGTCAGTCCCGGTCAGATCCATTCCAGGCTTCAGTGCAAGCATGGCAAGAAAATCGCTGGCCATTGAATGAAGTATGAAACGGGCGTCCACCGGGAGAGCTGACGAGCGGAGCAGGAGGCGTGTGTACTGCTTGTCAGAGGTCATTTCCGGCTGTAGATTAGCCCTCATTGTAAAAAACATGTTTCTTTTCTTAGGCAGAGAGAGGCCCATGTGGTGACCCCTAACCAGATAAAAAAAGGAGGCCCAGGCCTAAGGAGAGAAAAAAGGGGGGGGGAGGTGAGAGGCTGGCCACTTGATTGGAGAGCCTGAACTCTCTCTCGCTCTAGAGCTCTCTGGCTCTGGAGCTCTCTGTTTTCCTTCACACACAGATCCACCAGAACACAGGAGTAGGGTATTACGCTTCTCAGCGGCCCGAACCTGTCTACGTGGCCCGTGTCTTGTGCGCTTCTTCTCGCTGACATTCCTCAGATCGAGGGCGAAGAACCTCACTTAGCGCCCCCGGCCGAACCGGCAAAGGGGGGCCTGCGCGTTCTCCCGGTGAGGAGCCCCACGCTCCGTCATCTGGCGCGCCAGGTAGGGGGCGCGC